CCATAGGAACTAAATTATCACTGGATTGTATTATGCTATCCTGCAGTTCCCTAATTAGTTCTACTTTGTAAACCTTTCCTATGAATAGAATTGCATTGCCTTTCCCAAGGCTCTGCTTTAAGTCCTTGGCTTCCTCTTCTGGCTTTTCCCGCTTCAACCAAGAGTACTTTCAACTAAGTTTCTAAACCTTTAATATGCTTTTCGCCCTCGAGGCATAGTTCCAGTAAGGTTGTGAGTATACTGGCAGGAGAAAATGCCATTTTCTCTTTCAAATACTAGCTTACTGACATTAGTTTTAACCCCTTACTCCCATAGACACACTCTTTTAGTACTGACATTGAGTGTAAATGCAGCCTCTGGGCAAAGGAGAATCTGTGTAGGATTTTAGATTTGAACTGGGCATTCAGAGATAACTGAGCCAAGTGCTGTAGACACATAACCAAGGTATGGCCATCATGTCCTTATCACTTATATTAACATCTTTATATTAAACCATTTTAACATCTTTGTATTAAATCTACAACACTGGGCAATAATAAATTTAATCAACTTGTTCACAATTGAACAGTGTTATGCAGGTACAACTTGCCTCTGGTTTTGCATGCTTTTATTTGTTTTTTTTTTCCTTAAACTTTTATTTTTTATGAGACATGTTCTGTCACTCAGGCTGTTCTTTTAGTAATGTAACCTTTGTCCCTTGCATCTAAGTGAACTGTGGCTGCGGTTACACTGGTGGAGGCAGCCTACAATTCTGGCTTTATATGTAGTACTGACTGCAACCAGCCTTAAACTATTACTAATGTGTGCCCCACACCTTGGGATGGAATATCAGTATGTTTTACTTGAGCAACACCTTCACCTCAGTTTCATTTTTCCCTCTTTCCCTTTTACATTTTTTGTCCCTAGCATGCAAGAAATTTCTCAAGTTGAGAAATTGAGGAAGTTTTGAACTGGCATTTTCTGAAATCTCTTAGGTATAAGATGCCGCCTATCAAGGCCAGACCAGCCTTATTGGAATGAACTGCACTGGGACTGAAAAAGAAACAAAGTACAGCAATTTTTTATGTAATTAGCCCTTTCTTAGTTGTATGTGTGATCACAGAGGCAGCCACCCACACTTCATAATGAGCATATTAAGCATTTTTATGTAAGTGTCATCCATTATAAAACATCCCTCTAAATATGGGCTTCAGTCTTTTGTACAAATAGACAAATCGGTTAAAATAATGGCTAAATATAACCTACTAGTAGAAAAGTATTTCTTATTTCAAAATGTTCAAGATGAATTCAGTCATATATCACAACTCATGCAAATTCCAGCTTTGTATTTCTTTTTCCTGCCTTCTTTATGTTGACTATTTCTTAAAATGCACAAGATTATAGAATTCATTCAAAATTATAAAAAGAGCAGAAGTTTAAACTTGGTATGTAATTCTTGTGACTTATGTGTAATTTAAGATGACAGTAGCCAAAGGGGCTTTGTGAGGCAATTAAAAGGAAATAAGTTAAATTAACTTTAAGCACTACAATCATTTTAGCAGAGTGATTTTCTAGTTGTGTTAACACATTAAGTTTGACCCTTTTATGAATAGATTGGGGTATAAGCAATAATCCTAGTTATAATTTTCTTCGAGCTAAATCAAGGGGATTTGTAAGCGACCATTGCATTGCTTGAATTTCTGGTCCAGCTCCAAACCAAATGATCAGTTGCAAGTTTCTGTGGTGTCCACATGGAGTCACTATGACACTACTGATTGTAAGAACTCTAGAGCTTCTACAGGTGTAATGAAAAATTAGTTTCCATTTCTTCTTAATCAGTATTTTTGATCAGTTCTCATTTTCTAGACTGAATAGAGACTTGAATGCAATCTGTGGTTGAAGTCTGTATATTTCTGCACTTCCAGTGTAATTTGCAGACCAAAACAATCACTGCATTGGCTAGTTTGTGCACAGTTACAAAATACATGCTTTTGAAAAATGCACAGAAACCATCTTCAATGGTGGAAGAATGTTAGCATTTCAAATATGTGCATAACTGATGTATACATTTTGAAAAAATGCATGATAATACACACAAAACAAATAGACCCAAGACTCATACTCTGATGTTGAGACAAGATAAAATAAGCTTCAAGGTACAGTCTGGAGAACTTTGATGAGCTTGAGTTTTGCTGATTTGCGTGCAACACTGCTAACAAGACTGTTAACTTTTCTGTGGTTCAGCTAACCAAGGATTAAGTTTCAGCAATTAGCAGTCAAATCTGAATTTATTTGACTGATACTATAAGTATGTTTTCCGGTTTGATTTGACAGTGAACTGCCAAAATGGTTATAGCAAATAAAAGGTTGGCTGGCTGAAAGAGAATGGGAATAAAAAGAAAAATAATTTTCAGTATTACATTATAAATCAGTTCCTTTTTCAATGAATATCTGTGTTATCCATTCATGCTATTATTGCTTATCTCCCATCATTCAAAAGTAAGGTATCAGCAGGAAAGTAGTAGTCATGTTGACCTACTCGTAAAATTGATTTCTATTTTGATTTCTGAGAGATGTTGAATCGAGGTTATTCTCACTTGTTCAATTCTGTGAGAGAGATGTGCCACTAGAGAGACAGTGGGATAACAGGGATAAATACCAAACAAGAAATTTCAAAACAACATATTGAAAAGCACTCCTTAAAATTCCCTTGTTTTAAAATGTGCGCTACAACAACTTTACAGGCAGAAATTACAAAAGAAATTAAAAGATAAATTTTACATCCATGATGCATTCCGTCTTATCAATTGTTGTTATGTTCCATCAAGTCATTTCTGATGTATGAATGAAAGCCCTCCAAAACGCACTATCCATGACATTCCTGCTTCAAGGCTGTAGCTTCCTTTATGGAGTCACTCCATCTCTTATTCGCTCTCCCAACATTCTCTACCATCCAATGAAATAGTACTCCTTTATTTCCCTTGTCTATACACTGAGGTGCTCTTCAGATACAGACCTACAAGACGGGCTTATAAGAGCACACCACCCTCAGTAAAATCTCATTAAATGGCAGAGGTGTGGCCATTAAAAAATCCCACTATCCATGTTGCCCATTATTTGGCCAAGTGAATGACCATACCCCACTCCACCCAAAATGTGCAAACTTTCAAGATCCTCAACTTCTTTACAAGAGATGTTATACAAAGCAGTGGGGAAGGGGATAGGAAAAAGGTGACTAGATGCTAAAGCCATTTTTACTGCAAGTCTGGACTAGTTAGACTCAGGTGAAGTGTGCAAGTAGAAGGCAGCAGGTCATATGATGGTTGAAGTAGGACTCTACTGCCCCTGCTGAGTAGAAGGTTGGAGGGCACATTTGTATCTTCTGTTGCAGGAATATAAAGTCAAAGGCTTTTCTATCCTGGCCGAAGCACGCAGTCTCCTTTTGCTTTTTGCTCACAGTAAAGTGACTCCCATGTGGCTGGGGTTACATCTAAAGGACAGTTCAATTTACTAATATTCCATCCTCTTCAGACTCCTCCCAGATGAACTGTTTCTTGTGAAGCAAAGGCATCAAGAAAGTAGCCAATCTGAGCAATGGAACTGTGTTCCATCCTTGTGGCGTTCTGGTTAGCTAACCTATCCTGTGCTGCTTTTTGCATTGGTAGGACATTAAGCATGTTTGTTTGTCCAATATGTCACTCACTTCACAATTCTGGCAGAGCAGAGATTTTGGAGAGGAAGTTTCATGAAAAACAGCTCCTTCAGCAATGTCCATCTACAATGTAGATGAAATCTCAAACAGTATCTCTTACCATAGTATGCAATAGCAGAAATAGCAAACCATTTCCTTCTATATGATTTGCCAATTACAACAAACCATGTTTTGCTCATGGCATATAACTATGGCTTGTGATGGAGAGACAAGTCTGTGTTATAATGACTGAGCTTTATTCATGATAAGCCTTAGTACCAGCAGGCATCATGTTGCATAACCAACCCCCATTTGAAGGTTGTCATGTGCTGTGAAACTTGCAAATATAGTAGCCTTCAGATAATCCTAAACAGACCTATAGCAATACTTTGAATTCCTTAAAACCTTGTTTTGATATTTGGATTGTGGTAGGGTTTACATTTTCAAGCTTGATAGTTTTCCATGTATTTAATTTCTGGTGAACTTTTAAAATTATGGGTCATGGGAATTGACTTACATATTTAACTTACAAGTTAAAGGTTTTCCTGACTTGAATTTCTTTTAGCTGTGTGTAATTTTGTAGTGATCTCCAGGATGAGGGCACCTTGGTTTCAAAGATGTAAACACTTCTCAGTTAGACCATGTGTTACTATAATGCAACACAAATAAATATTATTGCATTCATGGTTTACTGTCTGTGAGGTAGCACACTGGCCTTCAGCAGGTAAATTGGGAACCACTGCCGGATCTGACCTAAGGTGCTTCATAATGACAGAACAACAGAAATAGAAATACAAAATTTAAAAAAATTCAGTGGTTCCCTAATGTAAGTTTGGACTAAAGTTTCCTGGGGTCTGAAAGTTAACCGCTATATAACTTCAACATAGATGTCATGTAAGTGCACAAACTGCCAAACTTATCTGCCAGTCAAGTAACATGTATTGCCATGAATACCTTTTCCAATGTGGATTGGCTAGCCAGCTGTAATCTTTGCAATGATGACCTGTCTACAGTACTAGTAGTTTCTATGTTCTGTTACTCTAATATGCTTTATAGGATGTGGCAAATCTTAAAACAATAAGTGAAATTAGCCAAAACATATACCAGGTATTTGTGATTTGAAGAAGGTCTTTGGGATTTGCATTTGGAACGTTGTGTTTATTGTTTTCTGTAAATATTGATTTAAAAACCCATGCATTGTGAGAATTCACAATATAGTTATGTGTGTTGGAAGCCCTGTCAAAGCAAAAGAATAAAAAATGAACCATAAAACTAGTTTTAGGCATTTTATAGTTTTGCTACAGTTCATCCCTCCCTTCTTTGGTATTAGCTGTGGATGGATTCTTGAAAACTGATGAAAGGCAAAGGCTGGCTAGAGAAAGAAGAGAAGAAAGAGAAAAATATCTTGGTAAGTTGACTTTCTCTACTTGTAATAGCCCACCCTTGAGAAGAGGCACACTTGGGAATCCAACTTGGGAGTCCAGCCTGATTTTATAGAGAAGGGGCCACTAGCAGAGCTTTGGCACTTGGGCCAAAGATGGTCATCCCACCTTGCCTTGGTCCCAACCCATTTTACTTAACCTCCAGTGATTTGATGGTTTCCCAGCTTTTGCATGCCCCCCTCCCCCATTCTAAAAAAATAAATTGCTCTCCCAAAGCTTAGTTACAGACTGTAGAGCTTTAAGCTGCAATATGCTGGCAGCTAGTATTTTGACCCAACCTCTTTTGCCTTTGAGCCCATCTACTACTGGAATCTACTCCCAAAACTGAAATCAAATTAGGCCCTTGGAATGAAAGAGATTTTATATCCTTGTTCAAAAAGCCAGAGGCTTTTATTATGGGGAAAAATAAAAGTTTCTACTCCCCTTCATGAATAAAGGCTTCACCTTCTGTTGTGCTAGACTAGGCCACTTAATTGTGACAGACCAGGTTGGATTGGGAAGGTTCTTTGCAGGACCATATGTCTTATAGGCACTCTTCCAGCTGTGTTGTATTTTGACCTTCCAGCCAGGTTTGGTTGGTGATAGCAGCTCTAATATTTCTGTTGCAAAAGAACTTCCTCCAATTACTGCAGGAGTAGTTGGATCACCATGACAGAAGGAAGCAAACAATAGGTGTTCAAATAAATAGAAAGGAATTTGGATCTGGTTCTATATTCTGCTAGTTTGGGCTCAATGCTTCATGTTGGATGGGTGTCTCCACTTACATTTCTGAAAGAGAGGCTTATTCACACACTGATGTTTTATCCAGTGTTCTCAGTTTTTATTGAACTTTTCAGTTAAATTAGAAAGGCTTAATCATCTGATCACTTAAATAGTAAATCATCAATGGGGGGGGGGTATCTGTACTTGAATACAAATACTAATAGCCCAAGACCCCCTTTGGCATGTTTAGTCAATCTCTTTTGCTATAATTTATGACAGTTGTTATATTTAACAGACAAATAAAGATAGTTTTGTGTAAGCAGGTTCTGCAACAAAACGTCACAGTGTGGAACAGCCCTGGTCAGGACACTCAACTCCATTCACTCTCAGCCTTGTTTTCTGCCACTCCTCTGCAAACAGACACTCAGCTGTTCATGGCTGCTGAGCACACCCAATTTCATTAGGCTGTTCTCATGGTTTCTTCTTCCAACCATCCTAGCTCATCATGTAATTAAAACTCTTGTTAGAGTCTTTTTTCTATTTCGGTGTGGGGGTTAGTTTGCAATTCATGGGATTTCCCCAGTTCTTCCAATACCTCTTCTTGTTTGTGGATGGTGCCATATTGGCTACATAACCTGTAGTCAAGATGATTGAGATTATTATCTCTAAGATAACAAAATAACATTGTTATTTTAAAATTTAAGCTGCCAGAGAGCAGCAAATTTTGGAAAAAGAAAGGAGAGCAAAACTTCAGTATGAAAAGCAAATAGAAGAACGATGGAGGAAGCTGGAGGAGCAAAGACAGAGGGAGGAGCAAAAGAGAGCAGCTGTTGAAGAAAAGAGAAGACAGAAACTCCGAGAAGAAGAGGTAGGCAGCACATTTATTAGCAACTTGTTGTATGATAACTAAAGGGGCTGGTGTGGGTTGGGAAACACCTGTGTGCTACATATTTTCATTAAATATATTTTGTACATTCCCCATATGTCTCAGTGGTATTCTAGGGTCAGAATTACCAACATTTTGATTTCCTTTTAAGAAGTGATAGTGGGAGGAAGCACATGAAGATTGGGTATTCTTGTAATATTGTATTTATGTTTGCGTGAGTGTATGTGTGTATGAGTGTAACATTAGCCAGGCAAGAAGCATCTACTCCTACTAAATAGCAGTTCTATTGTTCCACATCAGATCTCAGAAAGGGCACCTAACCCATGTCATGTAACATTGCTTTCATGTAACAAAAGCCTATCTCTGACCTTGGTCTCATGTAACAACTGTCCATCATTTTATAAATTAATTGGTTGTCATGATGTGAGAATATCTCCTCTGTTTGCTAGATTCTCCAGGCCTCTGTTATTGCTACAAGGAGGGTCAGGGAAGAGAACTTGGAATAACATGGCAAACTTAAACAATGCCTCTTTATTTTGATCTTAACTAGAGGACCACCTCCTCCAGGTCCTGTTCTGTCACAGTACTCCAGGAATAAACACAAGGAAGTTGCCAGTACACTGAACAAAAGCTACTTTGCTCACAAAGTCTGGAAAGGGCAGTCTCAATTTGCCTTCCCTAAATCACTCCTTGACTTTCCTGTGTGTTCTGTTGGTTCACAATGGACTCAGGCTGCTCAGGGCCACCATTGCCTAAATGGGAGCCAGACTAGTTTCTGGGGATTGTCCTCTCTAAAGAGGCTTCTCAGTCTATATTGGACCATCTCGTTGTATTGCCCTCTCCCACCTGTTCAAAAGCAGGGAGGAAACTTGTGGGGAGCATTTCAAATCTGCACATTCTTGAAAGACCTTAAGATGACCTTAAGATTCCTTTATAAAGGAATTCCATATAAAGGTAACAGTATGAAATCGCTGCAGTTCAACCTCTTCATTCAGGAGTCACTTCTTCTGGGTGACTCATTGCCCCACTTCTGCTTACTTTTCCAGCTGCAGTTCAGAAAGTAGGTATGGGCTTCCTGAGATCACAGTGTGGACCACCAGCAGCCCCAATATAGCATCAAATCTGTTTTCATTTTTTAGTTTATTTGCCCTCTACTTCTGTTTCAAACACCTTCTTTTTGTTCATTTTTGCTCTTGCATCTTGCTGGTGAAGATGTCAGTTGTCCAACTGCAGTAGCTCTCTCATTCAAAACCTCTGAGACAGCTCCTGCTATTGCCTAGCCATTTGCTTTCATAGTATGGACCAATCTTTACCAGTGTCTAGGTACAAACTTCATGCTAAGAACCAGTGAATGGGACCATTATAGGTTCTTCATACCAGGATGGAGCCTCTCTTCAGGACATTTCTATACCTGAGAATGTTTGGGCAGGAATTTTTCCTCCATTGCAATTGCTGGTATTGTCTAGATGGTTCCTGCCCATTTTCCTCAGTTCTTCAACCACCATTGTGATAAGCCTGGGAAAATTTGTTTGTTAATGGGTTCTTTAACTGAGCTAAGCTTGTTTGCATTCTGTTCTATTTAACTTCTTCTACTTTTATGTTTTATTATTTTATTTCATTATTGTTCCTTTTTTGCCTCTGTTGTGAGATTGTTGGTTTCTCTTAGGCTGTATGGCCATTTTGAAATTGTGTGCAGTGTGAGAGTAAGCTTGCACCTACCGATGGATGTTTTCATTGCCTTTTCTGCTTTGGTGAAGGCCACAGGGTTAATTGTTCTTTGCACTGCTAGGCTTTTATGAAGCAGGCCTGGAGGAACACACCATTTATGAGTGGACCTCTGGAACAAACTCCAAGAGCAATGGCAAAAGAGCATCCTTCTCCTTCAGACCCACCAGCCTCTTCAGTTGTCAGAGCACTAACCACAGGCCAGACTGACCCTCCTACCCTTGGACATTCTCTTGCATTTTCTGTAGCTAAAAGGCTAAGAAAGACATCCAAGGCTCTAAAATCTTCCGATGCCTCAAAATTGAAGAGCCGTAAGATGCAGTCTAAAAGCCGATCCTTGATGACTGCTTGCTCAGCCCCATTTGCAATGAGTAAACAAATGATCAGTTCCTTTTTACTAAGACCAGAGTTGATCAATATCCATTTCTGAGGAGAAGATTTGGAATGCATCCTCTCCTCTGTTGCTAGTTCTGTATCTTCATATGATTGCTTCAGTACTGACCTGCTGGGATACCATTTGGTACTCAAATGGTACCAATGCAACTGGCCTATATTGATATTGAGCATAAAAATCAGTGGAAAGAATGTTACAAATTCCTAGTTCTGGACTGGGACAAATACTCTGAGTGGTCCTTCCTACCTCCCACAACTAGGTCCTCAGGAACAGTAACACAGCTATCTACTGCCACACTCCAGGGACATCCAGCTGACTGGTCATCAGATACCATGACTGATAGTATTTACTGACTCACCATCCTTCCTCGCCAAGCCCCTTCCTACAGTTCTGGGGGTGACCAGTTTGCCCCTCTCTGGAGCTGAAGATTTACCTGTCAGACTTGGCCACCTGTTCATCCACTGCTCCATCTTTGTCCTCTTCAGAAGCAACTGTGGGAAAATAAGATCCTTCCTTGCCATTTGAGGACCTAGGCCAAATACTGTGCATGATACTGTGCAATCATGAAAGTCTCCCTCTTCTGTAATATCAACATTGAAGCTTTTGGAAAATATGTACAAGGCCCAGGAGAAAGATGTCAATTTTCTTCTTCAGCACTCCTGACCAAATTCCATCATGATTGAATCTACACAGGGAAGATATCGTGTTCCTACTCCACTCCAATTGACAGGGAAGGACCATCACCCAGATTCAATGACACAGTGTATTTTTTCCTCTGTTTCCTTGGTCTGCCCATTACTAATTATGGAGCAGCAATGGCTTGTTACCAGCTTTTTCTGTTGAGGAATATATATTCCCTTTGCAATTACTTACCAAAGGGAACTAGCCAGTTTCTACTAAATAGAAGTCTCTCACTTTTTCCACCAGCAAATTAACACTGAATGGCACCAGGCTGATCATGGTGCCAAAACAATGATTGGCGCAGTGGTAATATGAAGGCATCCATGGCTGGAGTCAGTTGGATTTTCCCAAGAGGCTCATTCTTGGATAGAAGACTTGCCATTTGATAGTGAGACTTCAACCAAAAGGCCAGAACAATGGCCAGACAGATGGGTCTAAAGCAGGGGTCTCAAACTCACGGCCCGCAGGCCAATTGCAGGGATGGGCAGGGCATGGGGGAGGGGCCCTGCGGCCTTCAAAGCACCAGCAGTGCCTGGGCCGGCCTGCAGGAGCAATGCGGGATGAGCGACCCACCACCACCGCAGTGGTGGAATACTTGATGCGGCCCAGCCTCACCCAGACTGCCCCCACGTAAGTTGAGTTTGAGACCCCTGGTCTAAAGCAACAGCAACCTTTCAACAAGCCAAGTAAATGGTTTTGTTCTGACACATCTGCTTTTCTACTTGTATGCAGATAAACTGTTCTTCTCACCAACCAGGCTCCATTCCAGCTGAAACAGCAATACAAAGCTCCTAGATACTGTTCAGGGAGCAAAAGAACCGACAAGTTTGGAGAGTTTGTTCTTTCTCCTGTCCTATCTTCGTCTCTTGCCATCCTCTTCACCACCTGTTTGGACATCAATAACATCAGATTCCTGGATTCATGTGATTGTCAGCCAGGGCTGCAGAACTGAATTCAATGCTTTTCCTCAATTGTGTATCATTAGGAGTACCAACCATATCTAGCCTTAAATTTAGAAGTTAACTCACTGCTTAGGAAGAGTGCTATAGAACCTGTCTATTCTTCTCAGCTGCAGGATAGATTCTATTCAAGGGACTTCATGGTAATGAAATGAGATGAAAGGCTTGACTGAACCTGGATTTCCAAGACATTGTTTCAACACTCCTAAGAAATTTTGTATGATTCCATTGTCATCTTTTCTGCCCTTACTACACAAAGGAGACTTTGAGGAAACATATTTTCATATCTCAAGGGCAATTTTCTGTCCTGGTTGCTTGTTGTCTCTTCCAAGTAGGTCTTGCTGTGCTCCATTTTGATTACCTGCTCTTTACTGGTTTCTTTGCCATTCTTCCCAGACTGTTGTATAGCACAGCTACAACTGCTCGTCAGACTATGGTGAACATACAGCAGATCCTTCATCATCCAAGATAAATGGAGCCATTTCAAGTCCAAGAGGCACAGAAACTACCTTGAAATTCTTGCAGTACAGAAAGAACTACAGGTTTTCAGGCCATTCTCTTTCACCACCACATGCAAATAGACACAGACAATACCATGGTGATATTTTATCTAAACAAACAAAGGGGCACATAGTCTGTGCCACTGGCCCAATTAATGACACAGCTGTGGATGTGGTGTGTCACCAGGGGGATGTCCTTCACAGTGATTCATACTTTTCAGACAACAACCTTGCAATATGCGCTAGTGCAACAGGCACTCCTCTCACTAATGGCTCCTACATACCACCATCCTGGACAAGATCATCTCAGTGTGTGTTGGGGGGGGGGGGCAGTTCCATCAGTTGATCTTACTGCCTCACAGGAAAATGTTGTTTGCTTTTGGATGGGAGCCAACCAAAATTGTTGGGAGATTAATTCTTCCTGAAGTGGTCAGGGATGCTTCTTTACCTTTTACCCCCCTTTCCCATCAAGTATGAGGCTTCTAGCAAAAAATTAACTCAACCATACCAATGGTATCCTTATCACTCCATGGTGACCCAGTCAGTCATGGTTACCCCAGTTGCATTTCCAAACAGACCTTCCTACAGCTTCTGTTGAAGCAGGACATCATATCTTGGGGTCAGTGTACAGACTCTCCACCTGACAGCCTGGAAGATTCTTCCCTAACATTTTCCACTACACTCCCTGAGGTCCTTCACACTATGGTTGGTTTGAGGGTGAGCGTCATCTTCGCTCTCTCGACCCCAGCCTGCTTTCTCTCTGCCCCAAGTCCACCTCAAGTTGAGTGTTTGTGTGGGCATCCGGCAAGAAATGATTCCAAGTGTGCCCACTGTGCAAATGGAGTGCCACTTTAGCACACATGATATGTAAGCTTTGTGTACTTTGCACATAGAAGCTGCTAGAGTTCCTGAGTGTTTGCATACTTGATCTCAGCCAGCTCAGTTCCTGGCCAGAGAAGCATGGCAAAGAAGGCAAGTGCAAGAGAGCTAGATTTTGGGCTGATCTTCACATCCATATTTCTTACTGCATTTGGTGCAACTTGGAAGTCTTCTCCTACATAATCCTATGAGTTGAAATGGAAATCCTTTTCCTGGTTTGCATCTTGGATGGGATTCTATACTGCTGCCCAATGGAGCAGATACTTCTTTTCCTTTATTCAGTCTTTAAGCAAAAGCTAAAGGCCTCTTCTACCCATGTATATCTGGCCATCATATCAACATTTCACACTCCAGTATAAGGTTCCTTGTTTTCCTTCCTATTCTTTGTTTCACTAGTTCATCCAGCAGCTTTCAGACATTGCTCCCTCAGTTCGCTCTCTGGAACCTGACCAGAGCTTGTTGTTTGTTGTGCGTGCTCTGATGAATAAACCATTGAACCTATGGCAACAATCAGCCTCCAACTATTATCTTGGACATTGTCTTTCTCATGGCATATCTCTACTTGTTAAATAGCCCACACATTGTCATTATGTATGCACCAAGCCAGCAAGCTTCATAAGTGAACCAGAATTTGAATCCAGGCTTTCCTGTTCCAAATATTAATTGCAAGCTGAACAGGGATGCACAAACTCCAAAAGAGAATTAGTATACATGATATATAAAAGCCAGTTGTAAGAATTCTGCATCACACCTCACAGTTGTCTTCTGGTATATCACCAAGAAATATTACTTGGGAAACAGGCTTGAGGAAAAGAGGGAGAGAGACTCAGCATTCGGCTAAAGATTTAGGAGGAGATGATAGGGGAGGCAGCAGGACAGAATGATGAGTGAAAAAAGGTGGAGCTTGCTATCTCCCATCCATCAAGTTTGGTAGCGTTTTAGCTATGTAGTGAAGATAGTCATCAACAGTAAAACATTTTTTTCAGTCGCTTAGCAGGATTTGTTTTTTGCTTCATGGAGATCACATATATACATTTCTGTGCAGTTAGAAGGATTCATTGTATCCACTGAGCTTCACCACTAAAGAGAAAAGGTGGTTCTGCTGAGATGACAGAGTTAATGCTTCTCATGCATTATTCCTAAACAAATTAAGCCCAGACAGAGCCACAGCAGCAGTCTTGCCAGCAGGAGCAGATGCTCGGAGGTGATGTAAACTTGTGTTGCTAACTTCAGCCTCTGTAGTGACCTCAGTAGTGACTGCAGACAAAGGATACGTATATTCAGAGGTGAGTGGATGTGGTAATGCCTCCTTCGTTCATTCCTTTTAACGACGACAGTGATGAGAACGTCTTGATCACTGCGTGAATATACCGTCAGAATATAAACCTCTTTCTTTATCTGTAAGAGGGGCTCTTTGAGGAAGTCAGACCTGTTTTTATCTTTCTTTTGTTCTTTCTTTTTACAATAATCACTTAGGAACGATTAGAGGCTATGATGCGGAGGTCCATGGAGCGAAGTCAGCAGCTAGAACAGAAACAGAAGAGATGGTCATGGGGAGGAGCACTGGCTGCAGGCTCAGGAGAGAGAGATGGTGAGTGAAACAGGCTGGCTGCATTGCAGGTTCAAAATTGGAAATGTTTGAGATGAAAAAGAAAGCTGTAAAATGTTTTGATAGTAGGCTGTGATGTGAGACAGAGGATCTAGACTTGAGATGCATTATCAAAAAGGATTTTGCTATCACCTGCTAAATTTCACATTTTGATACTTGGAAGTGGGCCAACACCAAAGTTGGTCTATGCAGATAATACAGCAGAAAGCAGGAAAGAAAACACCACTGAAAAAAACCACTGCACTATCAGTGGCTATTAGGTCTACATGACTTCGCAGCAGATAATCTATTTTTATCTCAGGTACTCCTAAAGGGCTTAGGGGACTTCTCAATGATTGTGCAGAATTTATAGATGAAAATGAATTTTATGGTTTGCTCCAGCTGCTGTCTCTTTGGTTTCAAAACAAGTTGTTTTACCACCAACCATGTATTAGCTTTTATGATTTTCAGAAACCATTTAGATTTGTTTAAATTCACCAGCTTTTTCCAATAGGTTTTGTTTAGGTCTTCCTCTTCCTCTTTATTTTTTTGGTGATAAAACAGTAGTGCCTTGCAGTTTTACTATCCCTGTTAAAGCTATAGTTTTTGGTATGATTTTTTTTTTCAGAGTGAGACAGAAATATTCATATACATCATGAGAAGGACAATCTCTTAACATTTCCAGAAATGCAATAATTTAAATTCCCTTTGTATTGTTTGGGATTTTAATGCTCTTGATGTAATCTGTCACTTTTTTTTTGCTCTGATTTTTTTGTTGTTGTGTAGGTGAATCAGAAAATACCCCACCCCCTCTAGGTTTAGCTGCCAACACCCTTCTTCCAGACCCTGTGGCCTCAACTGCTGCTGTTGATCCCTCCAATGGTATTTGAGAGACTCACAGTGCCATAGTGTTGTTTATCACATTAACACATCCACTGATTTTGATCTTCCCCTAACTGCTGTGTTCTGTTGTTTCAGTTCAATCCTTGACAGCATTCTTATGGGAAATTAAGGGCCCAATTCCCCTAGGCACTGCCACTGCTCTTAGGGTTTGTGTGACAAATCCTGTTGAAATGAAATGTGTGGCAGGAGGGCTTGGTGAATTGCACCCCTGTATTTTACTGTATCTATCTTTTAGTTTTAGTTTTGTCATAATAAAGCTATGCATGCTTGACATTCCTGCCTCATAGTGATGTTTCAAGTAGCTTTTCCACTAGTTGTTGTCAAGTTCATCTCTTTTTGCCCAAGTATGGAACATGTGTCATGTGTTATATGTACTGTGTGTCTTTTGACTAGCAGCTGCAGGTGAAAATAGGTAGACAGTTTATTCTGTGACTTGGTAGAGTAATGTTATAGCTGAAGAACATATTACCCATCTGCATGCGTCATCATATTGAAAAAGGCCTCTGTAGCAGTCAACATCTATCTGCCAGCTCCTAAGACTCCCATTTTCTTTCCTTACCCCTGTTATACATTGAAAGGGGAAGGTGGAGCTACCCCCAATACTTGGCATCTGCCGTAGCCCTGCTCTTCCTCAATTATCCACATTCAGTGTAGGGGGTACTGACATGTGCAGACCTCTATGGGAGAAGGAACCCCAGTTGTAGAATTCCAGTACCCAAGGAAACCTCTATACCTAGACTTCCCATGTTTGGACCATTTGGCTGCCAAAGGCCAGAGCATCTGAGTGATATATGGGGTAGGCCAGTGGCATGGCCCCTCTGCCCCATTCCATGTATAGAATCACATGAAGGGACATACTCTTCCCATCATATAGTCATACTCCTACATAACTAAGAAATATGATCATGAGTAGAGCTGTGTGCAAGTAGGAGCTGTTTAGTTCGGTGGCTCCCACTAAGTTATGGAGATTTTTCCAAGAAGGCTGCCTTTTGTTCTAAGGGTGTGGAGAGGCCCTGTTTTTAGCTATAGAAAAGATGCTGCATTGGCACCTGCAAACCAGACCTGTCATTCAGTGACTTGCTTATAGGAAAACATTTGAATCAGATCTTGCCATGTACCCAACAGAATTTTCTTGTTGCCTAATTTTATCAGTGTCTTCAAGCAATATTTGTATAAAATAAATATGGGGGCAGCATAGAAATGTTTTAAATAAAATAAATAAATAAAAATAGCTGAAACCAAAATAAATTAGGCTAATCCATTGTACCTATTGTATCCAAAACCAATTTTGAAATAACCCTTCCTTCTCCAAACAAATAAGCAGATTGCTACATTATCATTGACGGGTGATTCTGATGAGCACTATTTATTGCTAAGCATTGAATATAAAAAATTGCCAACATTTTGGCAAACCTTAGCACCCAAATGAATTTATCATCTGAACCGATACTGGTCCATAAGAGATGAAATCTTATCTAGCATCATGTACAGTTTTTGAGAGTCTCGTAATCTTTCTGTAGTCGAGTGTAAGACCAGGATGAGTCCCTTCAAGTTTGAAACTTGAGCGGAGGCAGAGCACATCTACTGCTCTGTGTCATTATGAACTTGGGAGGTGCTCAGTATGTGCAAAGCACAATTTAGCAACACGTGCAGCTTCCAAGCATGAATTGCAATTAATTAATTAATCTTTTTAACTATCACTTAGTACTTCTTTCCCAGGTGTGCTGTAAAATAATTTTCTACCATATAATAAAATAGAATTGTCAGGCTCGCAAACAAAAATCCTGTTCCTTGAAGTATAGCTTAGAGAATGGGCAGGTCCAGCCTTTGGATTTATCGGATGTGCTTTATACTTTGCCCTCATCCACTCACAAGGTCTGTGGTTACAAAATTAAAGGTTAGCTCTGAGAGTATTCAGCACTGTGGAATGAATATAAATGTGTTCGATGCGTCTCTCTGCAGCATGTGACAAACTTTCAGCTTCTACAATGAACCTGCCAAAGCAAATGGAGTCGCCTATCAATAAGCGCCTCTCCTCCTCCACAGCAACAATAACATATTCCCCTGACAGAGGCAAGTGAATGTGCTGCTCATTGTCACAACAGAAATAACCCCTCCTTTTGTGTGTTAAAATGCATTTTTCTTCTCTTTGTCTCTCTCTTCTCCCTGCCTTCCCCACTGCTTTCTCTTTCTTTTCTTAGTAATTCCTCCTGTGGCAAAAGCCATGGCAAATATCCTGTGTAATTTAACTACAGATTTTAGTGCAGGCTTCTCTCAGAAAATTAAGATCGTTCAGTATCATTAGTAACTCAGACAATTTAAAACAGGCCTCATATCAATGTAATCATAAAACTGGCTCATTCCAGTGCTGTTAAATGACACATTTCAGCAGAACTCAGGGATTAAAGGTGTTAAGCAGAGCAGTCAGAAGTTCTGAGGGTCTGAGGAGAATCAGAGTGCCAGACTCACTGTCTTATTGCAAACCCTACTTCTTTTGCCCTGTTTTTTGCCCTGGTCAGCTTAAGCATCTTATTTGTTGTCACTCCAGCTCCAGTCTGGCATAGTTGATGGGTGTAGATTGGGCCCATCCTGGAGTAGCAAAGGGGCTTTAGATCCAGAAGATACAAAGCTCCCTTCTGTCTTCCTCCTCCATGCAAATGGAACACATTTTGGAGCTTTCCACAAGCTCCCACTGTAAGGAGGACTGGCTGTGGCAGCTCACTGCCAGCCTGGGCACAGCAGATGGTTTCCATAGCAGTGATTCTCTCCATCAATGGAGTGGCGGGAATACATCATGCTAACCCCTGAGAGCCATCAACAGCAGGTGAGAGTAGGAGTGTGTTCTAAGTGCCATTATAGTTTAAAAAAAACTTTTAGAAAATGCTAATCTCCACATCTCGCTTCATAGCTTGCCTGAGATACTGGAAGTATGCAATCTAGATCTTGGAAGATCTAAGATGCATGACTGTGTTCTTCCAATAATCCATTTGATCTGAGATTAGCATTGTGCAGAATGGGTACTTGATTGAATTTTGGGTAGAGTTTAGTAGCTAAAAGACTTCACTGCAAACTAGAAAGGTGCTTAATTCCAATAACATGGCCTCATATAAATGAGTGGCTTTAAGTTTAGACTTCCTAAGGACAACAAGATACTGGCCTACCATAAATGCTGTAAGATAGCCTCAAGCATGCAAAGTGGTTTGAACATTCTGTGGTGCTATATAATTATTTCAGACTGCTTTGAGATACAGTTGCTCAGTTGCTCACTATTTTCTAAATAGTGACAACTCTTGGCTTGCTTAGCATTTTACAACAGTAGGGTACATAGTAGAAGGGCACAGATCCAGGGACTGATACCTTCAGAGGTAGGTGTCTTTCTATCAGCCAAGATACGGTTGAGCTGAATGAACTTGAGTAATCCATTCCAGATTTGTGGTAGTGAGTGGTATATACCGAGGTGATTCTAGCATTCAGGGTTGGTCCATGTAGCACTAAAACATATGCATATGATGCTATACAAAGATCATTGCATGTTCGTTGTGCTGGCAGAACATATTTGAAGGGAAGCCCAAGTTTTCAAATGTTTGAGAGATGCTATTTTAGACAGAAGGGAGCAAAGAGAGCAAGAAACCAAATGTCTGACATGAACCTGTCTTGCACATGTTCTGTATATAAGTTTTGGGCTCATAATTCTCAGGTGTGAGAGTAGATTTATTGGATTTGGATATACATGCTATGACAGTAGCTGTTGATTTAATTATGGCAAGTGTGCAGACGTTCAGGCTTGTTGGTGAAATCCAGTCCATTTGGGATGCCAGTATAGCCACCTGGAGTTCCCCAGATGGCCCTGCCCCCTATCCCTATCCCTTTTTTCTTGACCACTGATTGTTTGGTGGCTTTCTGGTTTGGGGATTTTTCTTTTACTTTTCTGAAAGGATGTCATGCCTCTCCTAAGGGTTAGTTACTGGTGATAAGAGCTTTAAATATGCTAGTCTTGGCCCTGGACTGTTTTGCCCTTGGTCCTGCCTACCAGTGGAATGTAGCCCTTAGAAGCTTCTCTGGCACTGTGGTTCAGCATCCCTGAATGACTTCTGAATGGTTCTGAATTTACTTATTGCTATTGACAGTTCTTTTCATTTTTTAAAAAATGGTCAACTTAATTTGGGTCTGGTGTTGTGGGAGAGTTTGCCCATCATAATAAGTCACCCTACTCCTGATGCACTTGACAGATAATTGGGCACCTTGGGTGTAGGGTGACTTTTCCTACCCCTTTGGTTCTTCTTTGGTGCAGGGCTGCAGGGAGCAGCCATGAGCTGTTCATGAGCAGGCTGAAGTGATGTCTGGCACTATGCCCAGCCACAAGGGTTGAAATGGCAGGCAGGGTTGTAGCCATTCTCTGCTGCGACTGGCAGCAGCACTAGGTGTGAAGAAGGACAAGCTGCATCCTGCTTGATCTCATCTAGAGCAGTCCAGAGCGTGGCCTGCCACTCCCACCAGTCCTGGATGGGGGAGCTGAGCCATGCTCTGATTGGATTACTTGCCAGTAAGTTGAGCCATGCGCTGCTCATCTTGTGTTGCTGCAGCCTCCAGCCCTGTCAGAGAGTGCAGACTGGGGAGACTGTCATCTGCATTTATCCAGGGTGGCTTATAAATCCTACAGCAAGTCATGGTTTCGGGAGCTTAGCGTGCCATGTGAATCCAGTCACTGCTTCAGTGTACAGATATATTCCACGTATTTATCGAAGGAAATGTTAGATCACTCCCTACTGTTTGGTGTTTGTTTTCCCTAAAGCGGCACAAATGTTAACTTTGTGATACTGAAATTGCAGTCCAATATTCTGCCTGTCATTGCAGAGCTTGTGATTCCTGGCCTGTTTGTCAGGAGCTCATCACAAGCAGGCCTTTGTTATTGCTGACCATAGGCAATGAATGCTTGGCCTGGCCTGCATAGCTCTTGTGGTCTAGAAGCTTATCGGTTGTCTAGTAAAAAGGCTGAAAGTACTCCATGGCTGAAAGATTGGTTTAACTAATGTTGTAGCATGTGGAAGGACCAACTTTCAGTACAATAGTATGTCTGATGGCTCCCATACTGGTGATAGGGCTTAGAACAGTAGGGCGCTTGAACCCTTGAGCCTGCTGCCTCAGAGCCTGCTTATGAGCTGGGCCATTCATTGTTTTAGCATTATCTAATATATCTACTTAAAGGGTAACAATTCATGTTTAAACCTAAATATGAGTATATGTATCAGAGTGATGGAGGATGTAATAGTTAATATCACTGCTTTTGCATATGGGACTTTCATATGGGCACAAAGCAAAATTCTTGCAAGTTTGGTAAGGTCAGCTTATGAAATAAAAACTATACCAGCTTTTCCCAACCTGGTGTCTTTTGGAAGTTTTAGACTGTAGCATGCCTGACCATTGACCATGTCAGCTGGGGTGCTGAAGTCTAAAACATCTGGAGGTCACCATGTTGTGGAAGATTGTCAGTCCAATATGTCCCTTATGGTTACAGGAAAGTAAGTTTCTATTTTCTGACTAACTAGAAGGAAGCTAATTCTTCAACATTTAGATTCCTTATTAGACTGACTAAGATGTAGACTAGTTTAGAACAGTGGAAATGGAAACCTCCTTAGTAGAATTAAATCTAGATATTTGTATTTTATAAATATTTCTGGTTATTTGGTTTTTGTTTGTTTTGTTTGTCCATGCTTTATCTTTGTTTGCAAGTTTAAGTGGCTTTTTTCTTAATGTTTTTTATTTGCTTCCATCCTTCAGCTCATCGCATGCACCTTAGTCCAATGGAAAACTTTATTATTTCTCGACTATTGACTCCCACACAAGCTTCTTTAGCCAGAAGCAGAAGTACATTAATGCTTTCTGAGCAATACAATGATTCAGGTAAACGTCATGTCTTAAGAAATGTGTTAGGCACACTGAAAAAAATTGATTAGATACTTAAATTTTAGGAGGTATAAATTTGATTCCAAATGAAAATTGATTATGAAAATCCTCAAATGTAGGAAAAGGTGTAGTGTTCTATGCAGGATTTTTCATCTTGAAATAACCCAATTCTCTTAGTATGTGTGTTGAATAATATAGCATTCCAGAAAAATAAAAACTAAAGCAAACAACATTCAATATTAGTAACTCACAGTGAAGTTTTTAAGTATTTTCAAGGAGTCTCAGAAGATATTCAGAAAACCTGTTAGATGTTAAAAAGCAGTTTTATTAACACTATATATAACATTGAAGAACTAAATAAGTTAAATGATATTTACTTAGCCAGTGTATGACTGCAATTTAAGATTATTTACAAAACCAATAATACTGCTACCATACATCAGTTTTAGAAATGATTTTTCTGGTCACTTTTTAGGATACAACCTTAGGCATGTTTTTAAATTTATTATTCCAAAACATTAGTATTTCTCAGAACATTAATTTTTAATCTATTAAGACTGATTTTCAAACTTTCCAAAACAAAGTTCTTACAAGTTTAATAAATATTCTTTGACAAGTATTTGGTGGTTGCAGAAAGACAGAAAATACAGTTTCTTAATTCACTTGAGCAGTTTGTTAGGTTATTTCTAATGAAACTGTGCTGTTTTCCTCTCTTTTCCTACTTCTTTTGTCTGTGTTCCCTGTTGCTCTTGCTATTGTACTATAACTCTTTAGTATTCCATATCTGTCCTCGTGTAGCACCAGCTAGTCCTCTTAAATCTCCATACAAGCCTTCTCCCACTCGGACTGTGGAGAAAAAGAAGGCAGCTGCTGCTTCTGCATCAGATTCAATGAAGGGAGCAACTGCAGCTGAAATCTCACAGGTAGGTTTGAAACTTGGCTGGACCAAGAAAAAGCTCTGTTCTGTTTTTATATTTATATGGTTTTGTATTTTGTTCGCCAGGATAAAGATAACAATTTTCTCTTCATCTTCTGTTTACCCCACCTTCACTGCCTGTTGCTTCCTTTATTAGTTTGAAAGACTTAATATTTAGGGAATCTGTATTTCTGACATGATATTGTGTCTAAATGTGTGAATACTTCTAAAACTGGGAATACTTACCATTAGAACAGATATCTGTGTTGCCTAAGAATATTCTCATTGCTGTAAATGCATTGTAATCTAAAGTTTCTTGGAGGAACTTCAGTGAAAGGTAAACAGCTAAAATAGCTTACTTTGTAAGAGATAAATACCACATATGAAATTTTATTTCTTAAGTTTAGTTCTTAGGATCTTATGTACTTGGAGAAAATGTGAGGGACATAGGTTTTTAAAAGCTAGCTGGGCTAGCTAACATTTAAGTTAGCTAGCATTTAAGGCATCGTGCCTTTGCTACTTGGGAGTTTATTTTGTGCTTTGTAGCTGTACATGAAGCAAGAAGGAAAATTGTCATTTCTTGCATTAGATCATGTATTTACAGAGGTCACTGTTAGTGTGCTGTCTGCTCAGGCTCAGCAAATGTGAAAAAGAAAATAATGCAATAATATTTTTCTTCGTTACACACATTTGTGCTTCTGGATGAATAAAGTTAGAGGACAGAGATAGGATTTAACACCAGATACAGTTAAATGCTCTGTGGCACCATATAGCCCCCATTTATCAGGCTGTGCTGTCCCATATTCTACAGTAGTTATAACTACTGAAAATGAGTGCTATGTAGTTTGGCTGATTTTTTTATCAGCAGCTGTGAATAATGTAGTGATATAATGCCATGTTTTAACTATTGGCTGTGTATACAAGGCCTGAATAATTGAAATTTAAGTTGTTTTATAAACTAAAGTCAGCTTGAAAATTTCATCTGGAAAGGCAGGATATAAACTTTCCTAGAATCACTAAGGGCTTTCTTTGACCAATTTGCTTTACCTTCTTTGGATAAAATATTCACATCCATGCCTACTGTCAGAAAAAAATGAGCAAAATCTTTGCCATAATATGGCTGTTAAAAGCCTGACACTGTAAGAAAAAATGGGAAATTAAAAGACTTAAGATGAGATTCCTAAATTGATCAGGAATTCATGTACACCCTAGAGATGCTAATGCCTGCCTGTCCTTTGGAGGTACAAAATATGCTAAATAGATCTGCTAATGGTTACCTGTCCTGAAGGTTCTTTTTGTATTGTCTTAATTCTTTTTGTTTTTATTTGGGTGTGCTTCTAGTATGCTGTGTACTTGATTCCCCCACTTGATCCACAAACTATGTATGTAATTAATAGGTTATAAAAGCTTCTTGTACAGACTCCATCTTTTTAGTCCCTTGGGAAATTACCTAAATGCCGCATGTATTTCCTGTATGCCTGAATTCATTATAAATGTTTTCTTGAATGTACACCCCCAATAGGCTCTCAAAGGGTATGCTTTTCATTTTTGACATCACTTAAATACAGAGTGAGGGATGGATGTGGCTAGGATGCATCTAGGTGTTTTGTTGCATATGTTTCAGTTTGCAGCTTGAGGCTGTGGAGAAACTACTTGAGAACCAAGGGCTACCACCCAGAAGCCCTTTGTTGCTGAAATTTGCCAGAGCTGGGCTAGAAACTTGAACCTCAGGGGTGGTAAATACTCCACTGAGTGAGGGAATAGTTCTGCTGCCCTTAAGAACAGCTCAAGGCAGTAGTAAAACTTCTTTTTAAGAAAGTTCAAGGCTAGGCCCTGTGATCTGCTACAACTACTGTCCAGTCTCCAATCTTCCATTTTGGGACAAGTCATTGAATTGGGTGATAGCTTTGAAGAATGCTGAGTGTTTCAGTTCATTCTGTCCTGACTCCAGGCTTACTTTTGAAACTGCATCTTGGTCAACCTGGTGAATGACTTATGCCAGGAAATGGATGGGATGAGTGCAACCCTATGTTTCTCAGTGACTTCTGATATAATCCAACATGGTATTCTTCTGGGTCACCCAGCCTGATTAGGCTTGGGAAGTACAACGCTGCAATGACTTCAGACATTCCTAAGGAAATGATCTTAGCACATGGCCTTTGGGAAACTTCAGTTCTGCCCCCTGGTCTTTCGCATATAAGATGCCTCAGGGCTCCTCTATCCCATGTTGTTCAAAATCTACATGAAACAGCTGAAGGAAGTTATCCAGAGTTTTTGGTAGAGGTATCACCAAAATCCAGGTGACAGATAGTTTTAGGTCTCCTCTATACAAGCTGTTATGCACTCATGTTTCCTTACTCATGGTCATTTGCAGCTGCTTTCTCCAGGGCTGTTCTGAGCATTTCATCATTTTTTTGTTTCAGAGCAAAGGAAGTAAGCTGTTATCTGCCTATCATGCCTAATTGTGCCAAACAAACACATCATTACACTATTTCACTCTGCTACCTTGTGGTTATGTAATAGAACATACAGAAAGGTGAAAAGGAAGAGGAGGAGGAAATAGCAATGGGAAAAAAACTTATGTGAAGGATTCAGTTGTCTGCCTTTGTAGAAACAAAGGTGGTGACAATGGACAGATGCACTTTTATCAGACTAGTGTGTCATCTACAACCATAATATGAGAAAGTAGCTCTTACTTCGATCAATCACCATATACAAATTAAATCCAGGATTGACTGAAGTGTCGTGCTCTATCTAGGGCTGCCTCTGAGGATGGCCACTTCAGCTGGCCGAGGTCAGGCAGGTCTTCCACTAACCCAGATGCTACAGAAATATTTGCTTTTCTTAAGAGATAGCCATAAGGTATTCAATGTAGCTTTGATTGTAACCAGCTGTGGAGATGGCAGTACTTCCATGGAGATTAATTTTCTTTGCAGGGCTGCCCAGAAATATTTTGCTACCAGAAACAAAGTACAAATTGCCCCACTCTCCAGTCAATATGTATAGTACCCAAGGCCAGCAAAATTATTTCGGCACCTGAGACATAAAATCTGGCAAGACCTTCTCTTCCTTTCCAATAGTAAAAAATCCAATAAGAAAAAACTGAATAGCTAACAGTTTCAACCTTTTTCATGAAACAAGTTTGTATTACATTGGAGGATGCTTCATTTTCTGATTATCCCTTTCTGTTTATCTCTTATATATAGTATTTGTGAAGAAGACTTTCTGAAAAATATTGGGCTTCTCAATACATCTGCTGGGATCTGGGGTTTCCTCCCACTTTCACTGCACTCCCCATTCTTGCACTAATCTGTACTCAGATTATATGGAGTCTGGGAAGAACTTGTTGCTATATCAAAAATGCTGGCCCCTTAGCTGTTGGGCACAATGATATGGATAAAATTGGAGATACTTGAAGCTAGAAAAATTATTAAAGACCTCTTACATTTTCTTCTGTGATTCAAAAGCATTGTGCACGACAGTCAGTGCGGTGTAATGGTTAAGAGTGTGGGGCTGGGACTCAGGAGATCTGACTTCTAGTCTCCCACTCAGTGATTTTGAACCAGTCACAGACTCTCAGTTCAACCTACCTCATAAGGTTGTTGTTGGGAGGATACAGAAGAGCAGGAGAATTATGTAAGCCATCTTGAGTTCCTTGAAAGGAAAAAAGCAGGCTATAATATCATAAATAAACAAGCCAGGTAGAATGCTTGACATCTTTCCTCTCAGTTTCAGATGTACTATTCCCTGCAGAAATTATTCTTCTTGCACTTATGGAACTTGTTGCTTGGTTATTTGTAAAATAAACCTTATTTATTTATTTATTTATTTATTAAAACATCTTAAAAATAGGACTTAAAAATCTAAAGTCCTATCTTGAGCAAACTTGATTGAACTACTTCAGCATAGCACTATTTTTATTATTGAGCATCATACAATATTTAATTTGATATTTACAAACCAAGCTATTTAAAGTTATTTCAGCTCCAGGTGATCCTGGATGAATCAGATTATTTCAGTCCATTTCAAACTTATTTCAGGTGAGGGTTTCACATTTGGTTGCCCTGAAGGATTTCCTCTGTTGGGAGAAGACAAAACTCTGTTGATTCTGCTTGATCTCTTGGCAGCTTTTGATATCATGGTTCATGATATTTTATTGGGTCAGTTTTGCAGGATAGCATTAAAAGACACATTGATATAGTGATTCCACTCCTAACTGCTGGTCCAGTTACAGAAAGTAGAATTGCAGGACTTCTGCCTGACCTCACAGGATGGTCATAGAGAAAAAGATATCTCAGTCTTTCACAGTAGTTTTAATTTTATTTAAAAAAATATTTTTCTACATTTATACAAATCAGTCCAGGAATCTCTGTGCTAAATTTAAAGCTGATATGGTCTAGAGCTCACTGGGCCATTTGCTCACTGGCAAATCCACTTCACAGGACTGTTACAGAAATTAAATGGAAAGGAAAGATTATGCTCATTGGAGCAATAGGCAGGCCATGAATATAACAAATATGTAAACTGATTTGCCTCTTACATATTATTTTCATCAGATACCAAATGAATCTCCTCTCTCTTTCTTTTTAAGAATGAGAAGAAAAAGAAAGAGAGAAAGTCCACAACTCCAGGCACATCATCTGGTTTGGCATCTCCTCTTAGAAGATCTGATTCTCCAGCAGCCATGTCTAAACGATCAGCTTCACCTGCAACTCCTAAGTAAGAATATTTTTGCAAATTCACATTAGCCCCCACAGAAGCTGAATTTGTTTAAGGAAGATGCTGACTTTACCTTTGTAGCACTACATTTTTCCTTTCTTTACATGGTTTTAATTTGTTTTAAAAACATGACAAAGTGGGAGGAATCTACATGAGGAGTTGGGTAGAAGACCACTCCCATCCTTGCAGAAAAATAACAGGAATTGACTATCAGCCATGCTCTTCACCCCAAAGCTCTTCAAAGTATTCTTGTGTGTTTAACAAATTATGCTGGTGAATTTTCCCAGCAGTAGTGTGCAGTGCGAAGATATTAGACTACCCCTGGGCCCACAGGAATAAAAGGACTTTGTAGTTGCATGTGGGAAGAAACCCCCACCTGCTTCATGCATTCTGAGTAGGGACAACTTGGTGATGCCAAAAGTTCTCAGGACATGTCACCAGGACATGTCACCATTCTACCTCTTCCCATATGTGTTTACATATGAGGGCTGAGGCTTTTCTTTATCTTAAAAAATGACCCTGGTGTTTGCAGGGTCATACAAAAATGTTTCCTCCCCACCTCCCTCCATAGTTAATTCAAGCTTGAGCCAGTATCCTGTAACCTTCCCTTTGCTTCAAAGCAATCAGGAATTGGGAACACACATTCTATTGCAGTCCAGTGGTCCCATAACTATTCAGACTCAGAGGATTGCAGGTTTCCTATGCAGGATGAGAGTGATATAGAGGGGAAACTCCTTTTTTCTCTGCTAATTAGCTAGATGGCTGGTTTTGAGCATCTAACTGCAGCACTTCGGATGAGGAGGGAAGGAGGCTAAGGCACTGCCAGAATAAATTAAATTTTGGTGACATTGGTCTCTTCTCCTCCCACTCCGATCCCCAGAACACCCCCTAAACCTCTTCCTTGAGGTGTCTCCTATGACCTCGGAGAAGTTGCCAGCATGGTTCTTTCCATGTGAAGTGAGAAGGAGGAGAGGGCACTGCAAGTGTGGATCTTCAGCTCTGAGGTTGCAGTTATTTTTCAGCCTCAGAGCAGGAAACCCAAACAATCCTATGGCACTCTAGAGCCTGTTTATGGGCCATAGGTTTATCCTATTAAAGAAAAATTTGTGCCTTGTAGACACCTGGTTCAATATCATCATATATCTGAACAGAAAATTGAAAATTTACTAGATGTATGATTCCAATAATAATTTGTCTTTTTCTTTTGGATGTTTAACATTTTAGCAAAGCATATGCTGTATACCTGCTGTTTAAATAGTTCCTCTGCTGTTCTACTGGCCTACCTATTCCAGTGCTGACTTAATAATGAGCTTGCCAACATCGTGTGTTTTGTCCTAATTATTTTTATTATTGTCAGATTGAGTTATCAAGATTTATTGCTTAGCCTGATGGTGTTTGTCTAGTAGCAGACAAATTTCTAGAAACTTCAGTCACTTGTTTTGAATGGTTCTCAAAGGCCTGATGTCAGCATCTGGCATACTAGGGCATTTCCTCCCTGCCACCAAAAGGACTTTGCAGAGCTTGTACCTTTCCTGTGCCTACCCATTATACCTGCTGCCACTTTGCATCACTTCCACTGCCCCAGCCTAGCCCTCTCCTACCCCTTCACATGCTCATTCATGGGCTTATCTGGTGACATTCAGTCTATTACAGGCCACTGCTGCTAGGTAAACGTACTCACTTGCAAACATAGTGGGCAGGCTGACAGCAGACCCAATCATCTCATTCATCTGTGGGCAAATCTGACATGAACCATGTAATTGGTGTTCTGTTCCTGGTCCATTACAGTGATGCCACTACCTCTGTGTAAGCTGTGAACAGGTAGAGGAGAGCTGGTTGCTACCTCAGCTTCTCACCGTTACTTGCAAGTGACCTTGGTGGCCACATAGTAGTACTGTTAGGCTGTACTGAACCAGCTGTTGCCAAGTAAGTATACAAGCACAAATGGGTAAGGCTAGTAGCACCAGCAGAGCTGCTGCCAGGGAGCCCAAATAGCAGTGGGCATGTGGGACAGGAAGAGCAGGTTGGTCTGGCTGGTGCACAAAGAGCCTGCTAGCCAGGTCCTCCCACCAACATCAGGAGTTCAGAAAATGTTAAGTAAACACAACAGCTGGAAACATGATTACTTTTATTATTTGAGTTTCCATTGTTTTTATGCCATTGACTGAATGTAAGCAATCCAGTTGTATGATTGAAATTAAGTGTGGCTGAAAAAATGATTATTTAGAATCTTCTGGTCTTCAGAATTGGCAAGGAGCATGAAACGAAGAATTCTATATATGTGCAATATGTATCAGATATCAGGGAGATAGTCAAGGTGAACAAGAACTGGAATGAGAAAAGTGTATACTCAGAGCTCACTAAGAGGTTGCATCAGATATTAAAGTGGCTTCCTATGCAGTCTAGGAGAACTACAAATGCAACACTCTGTCTGTGTGCTTAAAAATAGCTGTGCAGGTCTTTAGATCTTCACCAAAATACTTATGTCATAAAGGTCATTTTCCAAAGTAATGTAGCATAAAATAGTTAAAAATAACTTGCGTGTATTCAAGTCTCTGATATATAAATACAAATAAAACAAACTAGAATGCTACTTTGATATTGCTTTGATAACAAGGGATGTTTTGAATTAGTTTAGGGAATATATTGTTAAAAAATAACTGGGAGGATGGTGTGTATTTTCCCCAAAGGTGAACAAAGCATTTGGAACTGAAATAAAGGATGAATCTGATACCAAATAATGCTGGCTAGAGGACAAAAGGGACAGAGGAAAGTGTATCTGAAATTAGAGCTGAGTCAGGAAGTGGTACAGGTATTTAATGATAGAAAGCAAAATCTATACCATCTGTTTACAGGGCAAAACCAAAGAATTTGTGCTGTTACTTTGAAGTATATATTGATGATTTAAGTGCTTGCCACATGCAGGTCTTTGTTTCCACTTAATAATGGGCATCTCACATTCGACCTTCCTTAACAGAATGGTACAATTTGGATGCCCATAACCCTCCAGACTCATAGACGTATGGGCATCCTTTTGAGGACCAAAGCAGTGAAGAAGTGAAGTTTTCCTCCAAGCTACTACTACTCTCTAAAAGATTTCAGCTCTCTAAGTCTTTTGACCCTGCTTGTGAGGAGAGGCTGAATCACCACTGGAAGACATCATATCCTGCTGGAACCTCACTCCACTTTTCCTTGCTGCCTGTCCCATGCTGCTTCTCTGTTCAGTCTTGCAGCTACAATAGGTAGAGAAAGAACCACATCAAGGGTTGAGGGAGGGCAACCTCAGAGAGCATTTCTGGAACACCTGACCATTCCTGTGTGCATCAAGACAGTGGCTAGCAGTCAGAAGATCATGCCCTAAATGTATTCAGACAGTAATAATCAGGGTATATTCCCATGTGAACACAATGATTCTATGAATTGAAGCTCATGTAATAATTCTGCACTGATGTGTATCCAAGTGTATTTGTGTCATAGATGCAAAGCTTTTTTAAAAAATAATGCATCAGGTATTGTTATGTTACACAAGCCTATCAGTCAAGATGAAATTAAATTGCCTCTTGACAATGTAATTTTGTTTGAATAACTCCTAAATGAATTTCCATTCATCCCAATTTGCGCAACTCCGGTCTCCTTCTTTTACAGGCTGATTTGCTGACTGGAACATGAACTGTTCTTGCCTATTTTTCTGGGACACACTCCTATTTTGCCTGAGAACAGACAGCCTGCAACTTAATCCTTACTTTGTGTCATGTATATAGATTAATGTTTCATTACTTGATGTGCAAGGGTGGAAAAAATCAAACCAACTGACTGGTACTTCTTCGATTCTGTTGGAAATGCAATATTGAATTATATATTTGAAATATTTTTAGGACAACCACAAAGACTTACCCTCAGTCTCCCAAAACTGCTAAACAGTATCCAGCTTCTCCTGTGAAACAGCATGCCTTGGGAGAAACACCTAAAAAAAGAGCAGAAAAACATAAGGACAATCAGAGGGAAAATACTAGCCAGAAAACCCAAACACCGCCTGCTACAGATGCTATAAGCCAAGTTATTGCTGAAAAATCTGTGCCTTCTGCAGGAAAGTCGGAAAACAATGAAGGTGTGTATTTTTGCTTCTAAAACTATTCCTTAGTATACCTTGAGACAGAGTGAACCACCTGCCTCTGGCAGCAGAATCTAAGAAGTAGGGAACAGATAAAGCTTTGTGTGCCACATAGCCTGGCCCCACAACTGGCCTGAAGGATGCTGTCCTGCAATCACTGTTGAGCTAGTGAGAGCCATAAGTATATGAATGTGCTCATATGTTCATACATACACATGCATTCATGTACAACTTGTGTATGTATGCACACAGTCGTACACACTTCTCTCAAATCCAGTTCCTGCCCAAGAGCATTTCGGAGGGCTGGCACATGTCTTGATTAGATAAACCCGGTATTCCTCTCGGAAACCAGTTCAAAAATTACTCAGCCATCCAGGAATCCTGGCTTCTGCCCTCCCTCCTCTTGCTTGCTAAAGGGTCTTGTCATACCATACTTTGATACTCAGAAGCTTTTCCAAAAAAGAAGAAAACACTTGGTACAGGCTCTATGGGCCATATCCAATCCTTTCTGTGTGCCAACACTTGTTACATTAAGGCAGATCTGACTATTCACACAACAGGAAGCTGGCACTTCCTAAAGCAATCCCACAAGTGAATCCTTAAATATAGAGCATGCATTGAGTTGAAAACAAACACATTTTCTAATAATAAAAGTAACACTGTAAATGATCTTCCTATGGTTTCTCCTTTTCCAAACATTTGTCTATCACAGTTCAAGCTAACTCCAGAAAGTGAACTGATATATTTAAGGTCTTGGGTCTTATTCATAATATAATGCCACCCCTTTGTGAGGTTGCTTTGCCTAGAAGACACAACTGTCAGAGACTTATTGCATTTATTTGTATGGAATGCATTTTTAAATTTATTGTGCAATACAAAAAACCACCAAACCACACCAAATACACAGTATAACTGTAGTTAGTGCTCTGAATTCTTTTTAAAATAAATATAATATCTCTGTCCAAAGGTGTTTGCATGGAATATGTAGCTTGTTCCTGAGTTTGTTCTAAGCTTCTTTCCTTCGGCTATCTAATATTCTCATCCCAACAACATACAATTAGGGAAACTTGCAGCGGGGACAACTGATGCTGAAGAAGCTACACGAATTCTAGCAGAGAAGAGACGTCAGGCTCGTCTCCAGAAAGAACAAGAGGAAAAAGAAAGACAGGAGAGAGAGGAGCGTGAAAGGTACTATCCTACTGCATAATTACTTTGCACCCTTAAAAACTGGTCATTGTTGCTACCGTCAGATTGACCTTCAGACAGGTATGAGTTAATGGTGTTTCATGTCTTGGATACTCTAAACCATGGAACCATGATAATCCCTTCCTTGATCCAGATAATCTGGGGGCACATCTCCTGTTTTCTGAGGAACTCTGCTTTAAATGCTGCTTAATAGGAAAGTCTTTGATTTTGGACCATGTAAAATGTAACAGAAGGTATAGCCTTTCTCTCACTCTAAAAATACCTCTGTAACTTTGAAGGCTTGAGAGAGAAGAGCTGAAAAGAAAGGCTGAAGAAGAGAGGGCTCGACTGGAGGAAGAGAAACAAAAAAAAGAGGAAGAAAGAAGGCGTGAAGAGGAAGAGGCAAGGAGAAAAGCAGAAGAGGAAGCTAGAATAAGAGCTGAAGAAGAATGCCTACTAAGGGAAAGGAAAGAAAAGGAATTGCAAATGATGCTTGAGGCACAGGTATGGTCTTTAGGAAGTAGCAAAACACCTATTATTTAGAAATATTCTTTCTTATGATGGAACCTAATATCCAAATATAATATTTCTGTACCAAATACAAAAACATCACTGTTCATAAATACAGGAAAGCTCCCTTATGGTCTACCTAAAACAATATTGCCCATTGAAAAACTCTTTCCAAACTCTATGATAATTTAGAAATTTGGACCTTCTGTGTAAGCAAAGAATGTACTCCACCACAGAGCCCAAATACAAAATTATTAAACAATACTGTATATTATCTAGAAGGTGTTAAATCTCCCTGGTAACTACCCTTCAGCATGTTGTGCTTGTTAAAATGATACCTAGATACTCTAAGTTGGACTTAGTTCAAATGTTCAGTTACCTCTATGACTTCAACTAAAATTGCATTTGCATGGAAAGGGCATTGAAAGAATGTTTAAATCCTCTTCCTGTATGGACCTCTGGAAATACATGGAACTGCCATAGCACATGCACCACAGAGTTCCCAGGTTCAGCCCCTGGCATTTCTAGGTAGGGTTGTGAAGGACCCTGCTAGGGAGCTGGATGGGCTAATGATTGGACTAAGTATAACCAGGGCAGGTAGCAAAAATATGCATGGTACCCCTGCATACCATACCTGTCTGGCATGGCAGGTGCCCATTAACAGGTACCCGTTAACAAGAGGCCCTGACTTTCTTCTTTTTCACCATTGGAGCTGTTTTTTTTTTCATATACCTTTCAATCTGACACGAACAGTGGTAGTGATGAGGAGCTAGGAGTGGTAGATTCCCATGGTCCCTTAAAAGCTGGCAATGGGTATCAGGTATCTTTCCTATATCTTCTGGGAATTGATGGCACAGTGCAAATATTCCTGTACAAAATGGTTGACAGACATAGGGAAGATGAGTGAAATATTCTTGCAGCCAGGTGGAATTCATAACCAAGCAGGAAAAGAAATGTCAGCACATAGGCAATATGCACACATACTCGTACTGCTAGCAGAAGGCTTCAGAACTACGTTTTGGAGAAAGACAGTCTACTCACATCTTCTCAAAAATAGTATATTATCTATAATTTAATAAATAACTTGCCTCTTGACTTTGTGTTTCATTAGAAAGAAGCAGCAGAAGCAAAGGCCAGGGAAGCGGCTGAACATCTGCGTCTGGAAAGAGAACAAATAATGCAACAGATAGAGCAAGAAAGGCAGGAGCGGAAGAAGGTAGCTAGTTTGCTCATTGCAAACGTTAAGGCAGTGTTAGTTTTTGTTTGTTTGCATAAGTATATGAAATCCACCTATAAATAAGGTGTCCTAGACAAGTTGATCTAATTGAACTTTTAGTGTGAAATGCAATATTCAGTTACAAAACTTGTTCATAATTATGATCCATCTTGTGTCCTCTGTGACGATAGGATCACCTCTATGCATGGGTTTAGCTCACCAGTTATGTTCCAATTATAGACACATAATTTATTAGCAGACCTTTAGTAATTCTGTATAGTCTGAAACAAAACTTCCATAGAGGAAACTTGCAGTAATTGCATTAGAGCTGATGAAATGAAATTGCAAATGTTGACCAGTCATTGCATTATGATTGTACAGGTAAATCACCTTTGGTAACTTAAATATTGAGGGATACTAAAAGTGTTGATGCAGGCATAGATTGGTGATGGTACCCTTTATGTGGCTATTGAAAGATATATTATCTTATTTCAGGCAAAGTATCTGCAGAACTGTCAATTTGATAAATACTCTTAGAATTGGGATTAATTTTTTCTATTACATATTGCTCCAAATTCAATTACAGTTTTAGATGTAGCAGGCAAAGGGCAGTAAACACATATTTTGTTTTTGTCTGTTTCAGAGAATAGATGAAATAATGAAAAGAACACGAAAAAGTGAAACACCAGAAATCAAGGTAAAGCGAATTTCCTTCCTCACCAGGATCTGTAGCATGTCACCATTCAATACAGAGTAAATCCTGTTCAACCTAATATTAATCTTCAGCTGCAATTTAACAGAACGGTCACTTCTGGTCCTCATAGAAGGTCACAAATTACACATTTTTATGTAGGCAACTGATTAAACAAAGCGTATGTTAACACGGACAACATAACGGTGAATAATGCTACAGCTTTGTTTCTATCCAGGCTGTATAAGGCAAGAAGCAGCCAGTTTTCATCTACCTGGATTACATGGCACAGGAACCCATTGTGGTTAACTAATCTTGGTTGGTTGTCATGTCATCCAAACCCAGATCACTTCCCACAGGGTGGCTTATTTGCCAGAAACAGGCCACTGCAACAACCCATACCTTGTTCTAGGGGTTCTTTGATCCATGATGGGCTGCTGTGTTGACTAAACCTGGAAGAACAACTTCACTGTGGGTCATAGGGATCTGCTAGGGAACCATATGGCAAGAACAGCAAGAACTCTTGCCTTCCATGGTTTTGGCCTTGCTGACTCTAGTGCCACATGCTCTATCATGCAGCATTGTGACTATCACTCTTTCATCTCCTTTTTTGCTAGGGGCCCCCAGAAAAATGCACAATAAATTATGCTTTCATAACTGCTGGTATTATTGTTGGCCTTCTGAAAGTTTGCTCTTACAGCTATCTGATATGTGTAGTCTTGCAGATCACCAATTCCTTGCATGTTTCATATGTCAGAGCGTGCAAGGAAGTGGAGTGGATATCATAATGGAAATTGACGTGGCAAGACTGCATACACAGTTATTGGCACAGGGGTGCCGGGGCCAGATGCTAAGCTATCAAATGGAAAGCACCAAAAGGAGGGAGCTGCACAAGTAGGTGCACCAGAAAGGTGGACTATATCTCCCTCTTGTCAGTGTGATCCACTCAGTTTAAGGGTTAAACGTAAGTGTTTTCACAGAAGTGCTTCAAAAGGAAGACACAGAAAGCAGGGAGAGCTGGTATCTCCCTTTCTGGAGTAGCTGAAAGTTCAGAGAAGTGTTAAAAAGGTAGAGAGTCCTGCAAAGTGGCAGTTCGACACATAACAGTTACAGGACCATAGTGTCAAAGGTGAAGATATTCTCCCACCTGCATTTACAATACGATCCCAATTGTGCATCTCTGAGACTTGCCATTTTTTAATAAAGCAGCAACCAGAATGGCAGGAGTCAAGACAGGTTATGCTGCAAAAGTCATTGAATTACCTGCTGGAAGTCCAAGGAGGAAGGAGAGAGAGGACAAGCCATGATGAGCTCATTTGTCTGTTGCATGTGCCCTAGTGCTTCTGCAAACAAGCACTGACCCATCCTGGCAATAAGTCACAGGGGGCTGCCTGTTGGTCACAGTGTTCCTGACAGGCACTCAGGTTCATAGTTGGTTGTTGACTGCCTCACTCTCCTTTCTTCCTTGGCCCTCCTACAGGTATCCCAGGGACACTGTGGTAAGACCAAGTTGTCTCCTATTCCCTATCGCGAACATGAACTGTGCTCAGCTGTTTTGTACTTTATCTTTTTTTGGTGGGGAGAGTTGTTTTGTTTTGTAATTGCAAAGCTGTGGTATAATTAAGTGTGGTTAAGAGTGTGGGGCTGAGGCTCAGGTAATATGGGTTCTCATCCCCACTCACTCATGGAGTCCAGTGGGTGACTTTGGGCCACTCACAGACTCTCAGCCCAACCTACCTCACAGGGTTGTTGTGAGGATAAGATGGAGAGGAGGAAGAGAAGTAATTGTAGTGCAATGCAATAGTACATCCATAACAACAAAAATTAGGAGAAAAAACTTACAGTACAAATAAATTGTATTATATAAATCAGCCAAAAGAATTAATATTTGGTTAATTAGATACTGGAGACTGAAAGTGCACCCCCACACCAGGACCTTTGGCTATATGATAATTATTTATTCATATCCATATATACCCTTCTTCTCCTTTACTACTTCTATGTTTCTCCTCTTTTAGGATGATCCCCCTCCATCCAAAATTGTATTGAATCATACAAATACGCTTTCCTTTTATTAATACGTGTTCAATACAACCCCCAAATGTCATTAATTTCTCATATTCCTTTCCATTCTTTCTCTATTTTATATAATATATGTTTATGTTGCAAGATATTCATCCTTCATCTTACGTATTGTAGATAATAAGTCCTTTAACACAAATATCTAATCAATCCTGGAGTAGGATTTATGAACTGATAAGTAAAAAGTAAATCTCTTTTCATCTCCTTTTATTTCTCTACATATCAGTATTATGTATAATTTTATTCAATACTGTAATGTTATGTTTTTCTTCTTTGGTTTGATTTAATCTATCCTTTGAATTGTCCATTACCATATTAAAGTCACCTGTCATTATTACAAATCCTGTCCTAACTTCTCAAATACATTTTTTGTAGAAATTGTATGTGATTAACATTTGGTGGATAAATATTAACTAACGTATAATTTTCCCCTCTCATTTCATCTTGTAGCATCAGAAATCTACTTCTTGCCTCTTTCTTTACTTTTTGGATTTTCATCTTTCTTAGATATAATAATCACCACTCTTCTACTATTTGAATTTCCATATGTTTTTTCATAAACCTCTGATCATGAACATCTTAGCTCCTTAACCCTTTCTCTCTCTTTTTGGTGTGTTTCTTGGAGAAACACAGTTTCAGCTCTATCTCTGTTAATTGTGTAAATTTCTTTTGATTACATTGCCCAGACCTTCAACATTCAAAGATAATACTCTCATTATTTTAAGCATAACAGTTTAATATCATGTAGCCTCATTGTGTATAACCAAAAACTCACACACAAGATAAAAAAGAAAAAAATAAACAACCCCCCCCCCAAACTACCCCATAAAACCATCTCCACTACATCTACTAGTATTTACTCCCTTGAGTTGCTTGGAAGGAAGGAAGGCAGGGTACAAATATAATAAATCAGTAAATAACTATCTTGATAGGAAGCTTTCACGATCCTCACTTTGAAAACCAATGACACACCCCTCAAAATGCTGCAGTGGCATTTTAAAAGGTGCACACAAATGTGTTCAAATAGTTCATGTTATGTTTTAATTAATATTTTAACTGCAATTTTGGGCTAATTCATATGTCTGTACGTTTGGCCTGTCAAAAACCCCCTTCAAAGGAACCTAGAATTTGGACAACTAGCTTTCAAAATGCATTTTCTCTAGAAAAAAGGAGGGGTGCATTTTTTCAGTTTTTTGTGTTCTTGCAGAAAAGTAAACATGTGCACCTTTCTGGGACTACCAGGGCAAAAGAAGAGAAGTTGCGAATCTTCCTGTAAAAGGAGTGTAAATCAAGAGCAAAATTAATTCATGCCTTTAGCTTATCTTCACAACTTACCTTTTAGCAGCTATTCAGAGAAATCAAAGAGGGAAAAACTGATCAGCCCTTTGCTCTTTGGCACTCAGGACATTGCTCCGGCTGAGGCTTCAAATTCCCAAGCTGTGCAAGAGTTATTTTTAAAAAGTATTCATACAAATTGTGTGCACTTAAAAAAACAACAAACAAAACTCAGCCAACCACTGCCAGCCCTTTCAAATGCCTCAGCACTTTGAAAGGGCTGTCAGTGGTTATCTAAATGGGAATTGTGAAAGTTGGCTGTCAAGATGGGATGTATTATCTCTGAGGGGCAAGTAGGGTAAGTAGATTTTGAATAAGCACAGTAGAGCGAAATTGGCTCACAGGCACAGCGGGGAGGGTTGAAAGCCAGTGCCAGAGACACCACGTACTGGCAAGTGCCTGGGCAAGCTTAGCAAGAATGTCAAGAGGTGTTTGCCAAGTGAGCCACTACCCAGGTCCTGGAACCCATGATGAGTTCAGACTCCCAGGTTTGGACTTGCACTGTGGGCACACCAACCTATAGGACAAGCTCTGGGTTGCCAGAGTGGCCTGTTGTCTTCAAATATATTGTCTGAATGCTACTTCCAAGGGAGGCTTGGCTGGTGGCAGCAAGGAGGAGGGCTTTCTCTGAGGTAGCCTCAAAATCTTCCTGGAAAACCTTCATGGCACCAGCTTTATTGTATTTTGGGTGTCCGGTTAAGAATGCACTATTTGCTGAGACATGTACCATCTACAAAAAAACACATGAAGATGGGATGGGGATATTGCCAGTTGTTTTTCTGCAGGCCTAGAAGTATCAACTGTTTTAGTTCAGTTGTAAAAATGTGGTTTTAAATGTAGTTCCATGTTAATGTAATTTTATTATGTTTTATACTTGCTTCATTCTGTATTGTATTTGTTGCTCTTGTTCAACACTGAGAGAGCTTCAGCTATTGGGTGATGTAGCAATGAATTAATAAATGAGCCACCCTGTGGGAATGGATCTTGGTTCGCACATGACAAACCATCACAGGTAGAAGCCCAAATGGGAAAAAAAACCCTAACCAGTATGGCCAGTTTTCAAGGATGATAGGAATTGTAGCCCAAAGCATCCAGCTGACACCATACTAGGGAGAACCTGAGATAAGTCCTTAGGCTATGTTGATCTTTCTTTGTGACAAAGGTGCATGAACCTTAATGAAAAATCTGAATCACTTCCTTTAAGAGGCACTGTCTTGCCCTATTAATTAAATTAATAAATTATCACTATTTTTGCTTAAAATGTTAAGATTAAATGCTGTTTAGTTCAGCTACTTCTTTGCAAATATTTATTTCTAATAACATTAATATGCTTGATACAGAAGGAAGACACAAAACCAGAAGTGCCATCAACTCTAAATGTGGATAGACAGCCAAAGCCACTTGCTATCAGTCAGACAGGTAAAAATACTTCATTTCAATATCAGGTATTTTGCAGACCCTTTTAAGTTTCTGCTTTGACCCATCTGCTCTCCTGCTTTGTGTGTATGTACATGTGTGTGTACATAGGCAAAGTTGTTATTGGGATGACATTTTATGTTATGGATCTCATGTCTGGATTTTAAATTGTAAGCCTCCTTGAGTTGTCATTTGCCTTCAAACACAGGGTATAAACATAGTTAAACATTCAGTCGTACTCTATTTTTTCGCTGAAAGTAGAAACTGGTCTGAATTTAAGAGTCAGATCCCATAGCTTGAATAAGAGAACATATCGTTTGCATGCAGATAGTTCCAGGTTGCTGGCATTTCCAAGTAGGTTTGGAAAAATCCCATGTTTAAAACTTGGAGACACAGTGCCAGCCACTTGCAATACTAAGTTAGGTGGACCAATGATCACATAAACACAGTACCTCCTGGTTTTGCCATAGGATTTTATGTGACAATCAAGTTGGATAGGGGAAGAGAAATACTAACCCAAGGCCACCTTCTTAAGTCAACACTTGTGGAACTTTTAGGAGACAAGTTTCTACAGCCCCTGTGGAAGTTTTCTGGAAGTATGATTGTGGGTTCCAATGTCTTAAAGCTTACCTAAGCACATCAAACACACCAGATGACACAACCCATGTGAAAGTCTTGCCATCCAGGAATTCCAAAGAGAATTCTCCCTTCCCCATAATGTTCTGACAGATCAAACTGGATGGGAAGGATCACATGAGGAGTGAACAGTCTGCCCTTCTCAAACCAATTTTTTTCTTCCCAATATCTATTCTTTAGTGGCTAGGTTTTACTATCAAGTTCCCCCATTGGAAGGGGAAAACTTACTAGCTGCAAAAGAAGAGAGATGTGACATAAATGATCAATGGAAAGAGGAGCTTCTGGCTACTTTCTTCATTGTACAAGTGTGTGCTATTGCTACTTTTCAGATTTCTCTGTCTGCCGATGGGAAATGTTCAGAGCTTTCATGTGGAGCTGATGGCACCCAAGCTGTTTGATGACACACACTTAAATTTCCAGTTTGCATATTTTAATCTTACACATTTCTGTTTTGAACTTTCCCTAGTCCATTCAAATATAATGCATAATCATGCTTTCTATAGAACAACCAGTTTAGGAATAAATATGATGGCTTATATTCCTGTAATTTGAAATACTTAAAACTTTCTTTTTGTGTGTACACGTAGACTTATACCATGTTTGCTAATGTGATTCTTTCAGTAGAGACAAATGGACTCATAAACTGCAAAGAAGATAAAGGCCTAAAATGTTCTGTGCCTGATTCTTTTCCTCATGATGTATTTTCTAATGGATTTAAGCCACTTATGGGCCTTATTCAACTAGATGGGAAATCTAACAGTATGGATGATTCAACAGATGAAGTTCAATCTATGGATGTGAGGTATGTACCATCAAAAAATGACCATGATACAAAGAACTTCACAACTAGTTCTGAATGCCTGATGCTACTTTTGACTTGTGATTTTGTGTTATGGGCTATGCTTCTCAGGGCCTTTTGATTTGTTCTAAAAAAAGACTCATTAAAATAGCACAAATTCCTGTTCAAGACAAAATCAATTCATTGCATTTTGCCCATAAAAAATTAAAGTGTAATGTCTTCTTTAATTAAATAAGCTGCATCAAAGGTCTGCGTTTTTCCCAATTGTGTTCTGGTGTCTTCCATTCCATGGGATCCTGTGAACTATTACTTGATATTTGAACTCTGGTTAAACTTTGGCATACAGAGATGTCCAGTGCATTCACTGCCAAAGAATAAGACTCATGCAGCCTATGCATATATAGTTGGAAGCAAATCCCAGTGTGTCAAATAGTGCTTACTTCGGAGTCACTTTGTGTCAGATTGCAATCTTACTCATTTCAAGGCTCAAAATGTATTTGGTGCTTTCCACTATCTGCTATCCACCCACTATAGAATAGTGAGCTGTGATCATGCTTTTATTATCTGAGGATATTACAAATTTCATTTTATATTTATGTTTTTAAAATATATGGTAATAACTTGGCTCTTCTCCTTACCCCCCTTTTTATACAGTCCTGCTTCAAAAGAAGAGCTCATATCTATCCCTGAATTTTCACCATTGAATGAAATGATGCCTGGTGTTTCTTTGGACCAGAATGGATCAAACAATGGGAAGGCTCTTCAAGAACTACTAGATTTTACTGGCCAGGCTACTTACCCAAAATTATCAAGTGAAAGTATTACCATAGATGACTGTAATAAAAATTTGATTGATGGATTTAATAGTCCAGGACAGGAGACAAGTCTCAACACCTTGTGCTGATAAAATACTACACTACTACTTGGGAATAAGGTACCATATTTTTGTGGAATATAGCTGGTTGGCTATCAATTCCTGGCAGCCTGCCTACTAAGATTATATACTCAAGGTAAATAAAAGCAAGGAAAATAAGAGCGTGCTTCAGCAGTATTGCTCAAGCATTCACACAACAGACAAATGGGGATAACTAGCTTTCTCCAGAAATAGTGTTAACAGATTTATTTAATATCAATGAGAGCAAGCCTGCACTAATTCACTATACCTTGTGTGCATAATTTTTATATGCAAGCAGTTGCCCTTTTGTACAACTAACTCAGAACTTGGGTTTTCTGGAAATCTGGTACTGTTTTTTTTCTAACAGAAATGACCTGAAATAAGGCTATTTGTATAGATAAACTGTTGTATATGTGAGTTCATAACATTTCCTGTACACACATGCTCACTCACTCACACACTCTCTCACTCTCTCATACACACACCACAGGCACACACCCCTGTTGAAAATATTACATGAACTATAAGAACAAGAAGGCTGATGCAAGTGAGCCTTAAGAAATTTAGCAATTCTTCTGTCTTCCCCCCACCCCGAAACGAAATCTTAGAAGCAGTTGGACTTTAAGAAGTAAGCAAAACTTGCAACAAAATCCACTTAACTTGAAACTGAAGTTCTCTTTCCTAATTTCCCCTCTCATTTTAGATTCCTCCCTAGTGAACTTGTTTCCCATAGCTACACAAGGACTTAACAGTTTTATATCAGAAATGAGTTTTCACTTTGGGCTTTCCTAGCTTACATTTCTGCTCAAAGCTTCTCAGTGTCTCTGAGTAATTAATGCATGTTAAGTTTTCCATGTTATACTTTTAGTCTTTGGGAGATTGTAAAATGGAATTGCAAACTAGTTAATGGAACAACAGTGATACATAACAGCATCTTAAAATTAAGTATTTATTTACAACTCATATTGTGTTTTTTTCTCATTGGCAGACCATGTTGGAGAATTCAGAACACTTTCAATGCTGCTGTCCGTAAAACAAAAGCTTGTCATTTAAGAAGCTGCTCTAGTCTGCAACACTGGATATCATGTTACTCTGCACTGAATTTGCTGTCTTCCCATGTACATTATTGAGTAATTAATTGTTTTGGTAAAGAGTGGAATCTTCACTTTGAGTGGTTTCAAGAAAGATTGCTGAGAGTTCTTTGTTTAGAATTTGAGCTGCTAAAATGGATAGTAAATATATATTTCAGTGGGCTCCTGAATGAATCCACTCATTTATTTTAATACTATTATTTTAATTTTGTTATTGAACTGTCAAGCTTGGTTTGTAAATGTACATTAGACTGAAGTTCCTGCGCTTGCCATGTGCCTACTTTTTCAGTTGGGTTTTTTTTTCTTGAGAAAAGACCATTTTATATACCATTCATGACAGGTTTTCATTGTATATCTCAAGCTGAGAAGACTTGAACAATATATGCAACTGCTGGATCCAAAAGGCTTTCTTGCAGACACTGGAGCATTAGGGAAATCCTTCCATAAAATATGGCACATAACCATTTTTATTTGTATTATTTGCATTTGTCAATAACTTAGTTGGCACTGAACCGAATAGTACTACTAATAGAGTGTTAAAATAAATTAGTAGGGTCTTATTACATGAGTCTTTAAAGTATATTTAATTTTAACTGTGTAAAGAAAGATCAGTACCTTTAATTACATGTATTGTATAAGCAATTGTATCATTGGGGCAAAGCTGATATATTAATGTTCACAATATAGCATCTGTTACCAATATTGGATGGTCTTTATTTATGGGATTCACTAATATCCCACAACATCGTATAATCCACTGCAAACAGTATATAAGATGGGCAACAAGATACTATAAGGAATAACTAAGAGCAAAGAAAGTTGTACTTGTGCAAGAAAATAGCCTAATTAGCCTTATTCTACAAACGTGTATGATGAACACTTACTGAGAAAACAGAGGCATTCTCTAAGTTGTACAGAAGACATCATCTAGCACATTGAAACAAGATCAACTGATTTCAGTGGAAAAGTTAAGCACTGACTTTGAATTCTCTTTTTTGAAATGAGCGGAATTTAAAAGTGCTTAACTGAACCTGGTTGTTGCATAAAGAATGTCCACTTCTGGCAAACAATAACTTTTATGCTGTGTTGCCTAGAGGATAATTTTGTCCCATTCTTTACAACAAAGAAGCAAACAAAACTGGCTACTTTTATATGTAGGGGTGTGTTAAAATGTTATGTAGCTCTGTTCTTGTGATTCTAAAAATGGCCCCTGGTGAATAATCAAAGTAGTTAGTGAAACTATGTACACAAAAATGCTTACAATATTTATGTTGATGTATTTCAGCAAAAATACTTTCTTGGTGACTGTGCAGTATGTTGTAGCATGGTACAGTGTCTTCCAAAGTTCATTCTGCAATTTCCCTCCTAAACAATAAAAACAAATGGACTGAATTTGGCTTGATACTGTGATGGCGGTGGTGTTTTTGAAATGCAACATCTTAATCTGTTGTGAATTTTAGAAAATAAGGAGACTATTCTGCTAAACCTTCTCTTTTCACCTTGTGTTATGTTTTTATTTCCACTCTACCTCAGCTATTTTTCAGTGCAATTCTGTGAATATGGGCTGCAAATTTCAGCAATCCAACAAGTCTAGCTTTTGTAATCTACCACATTAAACTACATGGAAACATGAGTGGTGAAAATATGAAGTACACTGAAATAAAAGCATGACCAAGACTAAAGATGTTCAGTTTCCCAATAATGCAGCTTCACAGTGTTTTATGATTAATGATATTCAAAAGCCTCCCCTTAGAGTATCCAGTGTAACGTGAATGAAGCAGAAAAATTGGTGGTGTTCCACTAGCAGCTATGCAAAGCGCTAGCAGAACAGCTTGCAGAAGCACGTGACATAATAAAGGCATAATCAGTTGACCAATGCTTTCATAGGCAGAACGGAAATATTGACTTTGATATTTGTACAAGAATGAAAACAGTTTATGAAAGAGATGGAAGTTTTGCACTAGGAGAATAACGATTGGCGATAATCCTTTGAATAGGTGAGATATCAAAATGATGTAAATCACTGACATTGCAACTGCTGGTTGTGTAGATCAGTCAAATACTGTTTCATTATCACTTAGGATGTTGCAAATGTATTGGGCAGCAGATGTTTAAAAAAGAACTAATTGTTTTTAATAACGTTGTAAAAATAGCAGGTGGCATGTTCAAAGGCAAATTCCTCAATTTCTCTAACATAGGAGGATTCTCTGTTCTAACAGGTTCTGATGACATATCCATGCATTCTTTTTAAGATGAACAAATGTTTTTTTTAAAAAGTTGATCAGTCAGCAGTACAACCATTCACATGGGAGCAATTTTCAACACACATTAGGTTGAGTAGTGAACATTTACTTGGGCATATTGTGTTCATAGGCATTTTGTTAAAGTGGTGGCCACATATTTAAAGTAGTATACGAATGACAAAGATCATTCTTTTCATGCCAACTTCACTAGCTTTAGATTTAATATAGAATACTGTCCTGTACAAAATGCAGTGGAGCAGTTGCAGGTGGAATTTGTTAAGAGTTAGGCACCATCTATGTAGGCAGTCTACTCAACTATCTTTACTGTAGTTTGTTTTCCAGTTAGATGAAGTTCCTACTTTCAGCATATTTTAATGAATGTGTGTTGGAAGGTTATTTCCACAATAGGAGGGTGACTTAATTGTGACACTTCGCTCTATTGTGTTGAAGAATGACCATGTGCCAGAAACAGATGGCTAAGATAAAGATACAGAACAGCCAGGTTATATTTTAGAAAGAATGAGTAGCGCCAAGAAACAGTGAATGCAGGTATGCTAGGGACGTACAAGGAATATTAGACTATTCAGACATACAGGAAATATATGCATTATGTAGGTAGCCCATGAGGGACTACAGAGATGTATTCTGCAAAAGAAGCTTTTTTAATCTAGATGTATAGGCAGTTTAGAGGAGGGTGGGGGATCAGGTAGGTTGTCTGCCAGAGCCACATAAGAGTGAAAACAAATGAGTTGAATGGATTAAGAGAAAGAACGAAAGAGAAGACTTTATTTAACTTACTTTCTTTCCGCTAAATTTGCCCAAGGACCCTCTAAGCTGATTACAATCAGCATATCTAAGGTGTAAGCAGAGAGCAAGACTTGCAACATGGGTTCCTAAACGGATCGGGATCCCACTTTAACAAGTCTAACGCTGTTCTTTCAATGTCAGGTTCTCGGCAACCATATTATGGCCGAACTTTCGCTCCTTTTTTCTCAGAGTAGTTACAAGATAAAATATTAAGGTAGAGAGGTGAATGGGTCAGCTGAATTTGGGTCCCCCCACCCTTTTCCAATACTACTTCATGCTGCTACTGCCCTGTTGACTTCACAAAGTCCACATCCGGAGAATGAAGTTGTTATTTGCACTGTTCTGATCCCAGAGGTTTTTAGCCAGATTGAGTAATCTTAGAGCAGAGGCCACGAGGAGGGAGTTTAAGGTACAATGCGAATATAGTGTCAACAGATTGCGAGGGAGATAGGCTCAAAGCTTCTATGAGCAGTGATTTAATTCACTGTGTGTTGAGAGTACTAATTAATGGGAGTGGGTGAGGTTTATTACCCCCATGGTAACCAAGGTGAAGGAAGACAGTTAACATTGCGATTCCATCATGTTTACTCAGGCAAAAGCTCTCTGTTAAGCAGGATTCACTTCCATTTTAAGCGTGCAGAACACCAAATTGCAACGAAAAAGAAACTGCATGACTGATTAGGACTGCGTGCGTACAGAGCTGCAGAGGAGTCTATTTTCAGTTAAAGAGAAGCCCTATTGACACATCTGGGGTACGATACTTGACAAGTTTAAGGGAACCATGAGATCTTTGCAAGGGAAGCGAGTGCTAACGTATGGATCATCTCCGAAATAATTCGAACGACTGACTGGAGACCGGGAAAAGGCGGCGAAGGACTGCTTCTGACCATGTGAAGAACACCTTCCCTTACCAGTGACCGGCCACAGCCTACTTTTACCGTATGCCTCTGGGTTTGTCATACAGTATCAGCCGCCTCTGCCCAACATTACAGTTAAATGACTAAGGAAGCCGAGAGAAGTATTACTTTTAAAAGAAAAAAAAGGTCCTATCACGTGAGAAAGGAACGGTGGGACAGGAAGACGCAAGCATTTGGGGGCAACAAAGGGGACGTTCCGTTCGGCTGCGGGAGACTCGCCAGGGAGCTCTCCGCATTCGCGTCCTCGCGCGGTTCACTTCCGGGGCACGTAGCGCAGCTTTCCTGCCTGGGGCGGAGTAGGTGGGCCGGGCTGGGCCGACGGGGAACGGCTGCTCTTCCTCTTCTTTGCGCCGCGCTCCTGTTCCTCCTTCCTCCCCCGGGGCTGGGCCGAGCTGGGCTGCGGGCACGAGGAGAAGCTCTGAGCTGAGCGCTCGCAGGGAGGCGGCGGCCTCCGAAGAGAGGACCTCGGAAACTGCAGTAACTGGAGAGGAGAAGGAGGGCTGGCGGAGAAGGTGGCAGCGGGACAAGGTAAGTGCTTTCGGGCTCCGCCCCCTTTCCCGGGCCTGCAGTGCCGAGCCTCTGCGAATCTGGCTGCGCGGGGGAAGAGGACTGAGGAGGGACCTCTCTGAGGTCGAAGCTGGGGGCGCGGGGAGGCGGGCTGCATCCCCCTTGTTTCTCTTTGGAGCTGGAGGACGTTGTCGTGCGGCACCCACAGCGCGTTTTTTAAAACGAAGAACTGAATTGGAGCAAGATCTCCTTTTCTGCCACACTTAAGCTGCTCTCTGTCCTTGTAGAGCAGTTGAGGCGAAGCGACCCGACCGTCGCCAGTCTTGGATGCCTTGTTTAAGATACGTGGTGGTCCGCTTCCCCCCGTCCCATGTTATTATTTCCTCCCGATTAAGAAGAAAAAGAGGCTTGGTATCCGCGATTTTGCTATGTGTTATTTTGGAAGTATAGAGCTTGAGTATGTGTTTTGGTTTTGGACAATTTATTGCAAGCAGTGGCTTCTTCTAGGCTACAGCCATGCCTAACCATTGCCTATGACAACTGAGACTGATAGAAATTGACATCCAAACATCTGTAGGGCATGAGTTTGAAGGAGACTGGTTTAAGGAGTATATCAGCAATATCTCTTGATGTGGTGTCAGATAAAGTGGGGGTCAGAAGCACAAATAGGAGCCCAAATTGTTTGAGCAATAATTAAGCTAAAGCATTTTATAGTGCAATAAAGTGTTATTAATTATTTCTCCAGAATCCATCCTTAGAATCTCTACTTCACATACAAAGATAAATACCCTGATTATGAGTACAAAAACGGGATTAGAACTACCTTGCCTTCGCAAGTCTGGCACTGTTCAGCATTACTGACTGGGGATGATGTAGTCCAACACATCTGGGTGGCACCAGGGTGGAGAAGCCTAGTTTAAAATCTGCTAAAGTAGAACTGCAAAAAGCACTGTTGATTACCTTGGCTTTTTTAAATAGTGCTAGGAATTTGGTACCATTTCCCATATCTGGTTATTAAATAAGCAGAAATGCACACCGCTAAAGAGAATGAAGACCTGCTTTGGATGTTAGAATGAAGAACAGGTGTTTTTTGCCTTTCTAAGTACTTCAGTCAAAGAAGATATTTGTAGCTACTATGCAGTGAAGAATATAAGTCTGTATCTGGAGCTAATTTATTTCTGCATGGGATAGAATCTGCTTGGGTCATTACACCAGAAGCTTGACTCAGACTTAGAATGGTTGCTAGCCAGATGCCTCTACTAGATCCACAAACAGGCTCAGCTATCTCTCATGACTGACTGCTAGCAAGTAGTACTTTGGAGGATGGTAAAAATGGATCTCTGTGTTGAGAGGCTAATGAATATGGAGCTGCTGCTTTTTCTGCTCCTCCTGCGTACCTGTTGCTAGGAAGTAACATCAGGAGTGGACTATTACTCTGCTTCTAGCCTACCTAGAAACATTTGGTTAGCCACTGTGAGAATAGGACATCTAGTGGAAGCTCTAATTCAGTGGAGTTGCTCATATGTTCACGTCTAAACTTAATCTGACATGTGGGGAGTTTCAGTTAGTTTTCTTTGGGCATCTAAACTCTTGCTTCCTTTTATTTTCAATGCATTTGTTGAAAATATAGCTTTTGGGAGCAGGCAGGAGTGGTAGATACTGCCTAGCTTTGCTGTTGGATATCATTCAGCAAAGTGCCAAGTTTGTTAGCTTTTCTGTTGGGTTATGAAACATTGAGAAGTTAATTTACTTTAGATCTGAGACTTGCCCAGCAGAATTTCCTGAAAGATCAGATATAAGTAATATAGTACATATCTCTTACTAAGTACATTGCTGCAAAGTCATTTTTGTTCAGTTGCATTAAGCTGGTTGTGTACATCCGCTTATTTCTTTATTCACTGCCTATTCATAATGTTGTCTTTCTTCGTGTTTTCACTGTCACAGAATAGAGGGATTTAAATTAATGAATTTTAACCACCCAAAGAGGCATGCTAGATTTAAATCACTGATTTTAAATTGCATATCTGATTATACAATTAATGTATTTCCTGAAAAAAGGTGTAAAACATATTGGTTTGTGATAAATTAGTCCTTTATAATACCTAGACATATAAACTAAAATATGCAGCCATGCTTCCAACGTATCTTTTGCACTTCACCATTATTAATGTTCAGGCATGCAAAGCAGATAAACTTTCTAAAATACATTTTCCATTCATAAGACAAATTTACACAGAGTTTAGTAACTAGGAGAAGATTGCAAGGACCTACCAAGAGGTGGAAAAAATGTCATTTGATCACTTTGATTAATGTTACTGCCTCTTTAAAAATTAGCACTATTTGTTTTTGTATGTGTGTAGTAAATATACAGTATTGTGCACCTTTTGTCTTACTCCAGAAAGTTAGATGGACTGCAGATAGATTTTAAAGCGATAAATATTAATCTTCAGTCATAAAAGAAAAATCTCAGTAGCTAACAGATTGTTTTTCAAAGTTAAATGGATTCCCCAGATGTAGTGGTCTGGTTAGACGTACATCCTGATTTCCTCTGCTTCAGGGCAGGGCTGTGGAAAAAAATAGCTAAGAATCATCTATGTAAATCATATTAATATTGTGGCAAAATTATAATATGCTTGTAGTAGTGGCAGGTTTTATAAGGAAGACTTTCTACATAAACTCTAAATACAGGCAACCAAATAACTTGGAAAAATGTTTTACTCTTTTCCAATTAAAATGATGCTACAAACTAAGTAAACATTTCTTATATATGCAGGCAAAATTGTATGACATAGCTTGTTGCATATTCTAAGTATGTACAATCCTGAAGATGCTAGACATGAGCAATTTCTGCAGCTTAGTGTTCTGGTGCTTCTGGCATTTAAAAAAGCAAAGCTTGGCGGAATATGTAAGAGATTTCTCATACAGATTCACGGAATCTTGAAATGTCAAAAAAGTACATTCTGTTTTACACGTTATGACTATTCAACCATGTTGGCTCTAGGAGTCTTGAAGTACATTTACAGCTGACAGTTGTTGATTTCCTCTGATCCACTCCATAGGCCTAGCCATCTTGCATACCACTCATCTATTCATATACAGATCTTCTTTGGTGAAGCAAGGGGGTCTTCCAGGATAAGAAGAGGATCATAAAGCCAAAGCAACTGCATTTCCTGCCACTAGAATATACAGTTACCTTGCCTGTCGCTAGACTCACCACTGCCTAAATTCATCCATGAACTTACAGGAAGATTTGCAGTTGCCAAGTCCTCCAATTATAGAATGGATCATTTAGTCCTTGAGAGTAAGTTAATGCTTTTTGAAAAACTCTGGCCTTTGCAGATTTGTATATAACATTGCAATGTGTTGTGCTAAGTTATGCAAAGTGCCCTCTGCAGTATACTACATTAGTTTGATGAGAAATCATAACATCCACAAGTCCAATTCATAGTCATGGTACGGGCAAAGGTCAGGAACCAGCAGTCTGTAACCAGGCAGAAACAAGGACATGGTCATGAACAACTAGGTGGTCAATAACAGGAAGACAAACAGAGGCACATGTATTTGAGGCAGGATGCATGGCAAGGCAAGACATACAGAATAAACGGCAAGGGTCAGGCAAGGTATAGGAGCTAAAGCACAGCTAGCCAGACAAATTGAATTGCTGCAGCAACATAGCATGGCAGGATACATGACAAGCCAGAATGCACAGCACAGCAAGGCAAAATATGACAAGAAAGGATGCATACAGCAAAGCAGGATACAAACAGTGATGCAGGGTACAGGTCAAGCAAGAGCAGGCAGAATAGCAGACAGAGGGACCTGTATTGCTGAAACCAGTCCTGGAAGGAAGAGCCTCCTCCAGGTTTCCCAGCTGGTGCTCATCAAAAGCACAACTCCAGCAGGGTCTGGGGGCAGTCCTGCAAATGGTGAGATGGTCTTTTCATTCTAGCCAGTTGAAGCCTCAGAGCAGTCCAGACCCTGACACTGACAGAGTTTTTCAGCTGGCTGTCTGAACAGTGTTTGCCATGCAGCTGTGACAAGCAGGTAGGGGACAGCAGAGCTTACTGGCATTCTGGAGGATTGTCAGGGACAGCATCGGAGCAGGAGCATGGGTGGGAGGCAGAGCAGAAGACATGGGCTCCTCAGGATGCTTGTCCTGTTGATGGTGTCCTGTGTGATCCTTGCATGCAACACAGATTTCCTGAGAGCTGAAACCAGAGTTTCTGCATGTAAAGCAAGGACTGTGTTAATCATATGTCGCTCTGGTACTATGTAGTGACCAGACAGGAGTGCTTGGCACAGCTGTCCCCACAGTTGCTGCTGCTAGAGCTGGGATGGCGTGGCATGATGCCCTGCTGCCACTGAAATTCGAAAGCTGCAGATGGGCATGCAAAGGCAGCATACCCAAACAGGAAGGAAGGAAGGAAGGAAGGAAGGAAGGGGGGAGGGGAAGAAAAGGAAAGAGCACAGAGCAGCCAATCAGAACATTTCTGGCTGCAAGTCAGCGGTTGCTAGACAGACCTGGACAGTGATGAGTACAGGCAGGAGTGGATGCTGCAGCTGCAGCCGCTGTTTGGGCAGAACTCTATAGAAGAAACATAGAAACCATGTGGAGGTGAGGTTTCTGATTTTAGACGCAAATACACGCCATGGTAAAGCATGGAAGCTATAGAACAGAGTGTGTTTCTCTGCATGTTTTACAGAGACAATCCTTACTATGCTTCACCATGGTTGCTTGGGTTTAGATATAAGAACAAGATGTGTCATCAGTTTCCTTTGTGACTTGTCATTATGTCTGAACTCAGCTATTGTTTACTTTAGCTTTTAAAAAGCCATTGACAAAGGCCCTTGCCAAAGACTCCTGTGCAGACTTGGCAGTCATGACATACAAGTGGAGGTCTTCCTACAGCTCAGTAACTGGTTAAAGAATAGAAATCAAGGATTGGGAATAAATAATAATTCTTCCCAAGGGAGGGATGTAACTATTTGGGTCCCTCAGGATTTTGTGTTTGAACCAATAT